CAAAGCATTCCTAATTGCAAGTAGCTCAGCCGTATAGATGGATGTTTTATTTGTTAACCTGTCAATTTTTTCATATTGCTGGGAAGGGATTACTACGGCTGAAGCTACTTTGCCCGAGTCCGGGTCTTTAGATCCATCTGTGTATATATGTGTTTGACCTGAATATTTTTCATAGTATATTTGTACTTCTGATCTTGCGAGGTGCGGAAGATCAGTTTTGTTCACTATAGATGTTAGATGTGTATCAACTATGGGTGGCGAAAGGGTCCAGGGCGGAACCGCAGCAGGCCGCCGTTCAGCAATGTCAATACCTTTAAGGCCGCACCCCTCCGCCAGAAGGTCAGTACTGACCCCAAAGGGAAGGGCGGGGTCCTTAAACTTGGATTTACAGAAATAACCTTCCCCTAAAACACCATGCACGGGATTATTAGTCTTATTACTTTTAATCCGTGCATAGTATTTTAGGGTTTGTTCCTGTCTTCTCAAATGTAGTGGTGGTATACCGGCCTCAAGTTCCAGGTCTCGGGCTGGGGTAGATCCTAGGGCCCCCAGGGCCAACCTGAGAGCAGCATTTTGGATACGGTCCAATTTATTAAGGAAGCTGGGGCATGCACTAGAATAGATTTGTGCTCCATAATCTATTTTTGAACGTATTAAGGATTTATATAGTAGTAAAAGGCTATTTTTATCAGTGCCGAAATCTGTGCCTTTTAACATTCTCATGACATTTAAATCCTTTTGACACCTGTTGACCAGATCTTGAATATGTTGCCCGAAAGTTAATTTTTTGTCCAAAAGTATGCCTAAAAATCGGGCAACTTTAACAAATTGAATTGGTGTACTGCCTAAAGATACGTTCAAAGTGTGCTCTTTTTGATTTCCAAATAAAAAATTGCTACTGTTTTGGTCTCAGAAATTTTGAAATCCCCATTTTTTTGCCCATCCCCATAGAGAGTCCATGCCAGCCTGTGCACATTGGGCTAGTTTTACCAAATTGGACCCTGTCTTCCAACAGCTTGAATCATCAGCAAATTGGCTAATAACCATACCAGAGCCAGAGAGAGCCTCTGGTAGACCATTGATTATTATAGAAAAAAGCAACGGTGAGAGGATCGAGCCTTGCGGAGTGCCCCGCTCCACAGGCTCAAGGTCAGACATAAACCCTTCTACCCGGACCGATATCTTTCTGCCCTCAAGGAAGGACCTGATATACTGGAAGCAAGACCCTGTCACTCCATATTCTTTTAATTTAAATAATACTCCAAAATGCCATGTTAGGTCAAAAGCTGCAGTAAGATCCAGAAAAATTGCTAGCACTGAACGTGATCTGTTTTTTGCATAGGTCACGTCATGCTGCAGTCGAGCCAGCTGATCCAAAGTGCTCCTGCCCTTTCGGAAGCCAGATTGAAAGGGGTTAATTATATTTTTTGATTCTAGTAAATGTTCTAAACGTGCCTTGACCATTCCCTCAAGCAATTTCCCTGAGTGAGATGTAAGGCTTATTGGTCTGTAAGATTTTGGTTCATTTTTTATTTTTGCCATTTTTGTATATAGGAATGACAGTGGCCTCCCTCCAAGCATTGGGGTATATTCCCTCAGACCACACCCTATTGTATAGCCTTAACCATATTTCAAGCACACTGTCTGGTAGGTGCTTGAACATCTGGTAAGAAAGCACATCCTTGCCCGCGGCAGAATCTCGCCTCGCATTTAAGCAAGATTTAAGTTCCGAAAGACTGAATTGTAAATTAAGAGGCGAGTTATTTTCCCCCGGCTCATAGACCGAATCCTTGTTTTGTGTGACTCAAACTCTGCCTGATATTGAAGAGTTTCCGGTAACATGTTTGAGTCACTGGAGACCTGTTTGTAGTGCTTAACAAGGAATTGAGCCTTTTCTAGAGGTGTTTTGCTATATCATTATTTAATTTTAATAGTGGTACAGGATTGGAAGCTACACCTTTAATACTATTAATTTTTTGCCAAAAAATATTCTTGCACTACATTTTGTAACTGAGACAGTCTCACAAAAATTCTGTCCAGTTCTGTTTTTTAGCTTCCAATATTGTTTCTTTACATTTTAGTTCAGTTTGTTTGAGATTATTGAAATTTTCAGGACTTATATTTCTTTTTAGTTTATTTAAAGCTATTTTTCTATCCTGTACCACTTTCTTACATTCATTATTCCACCATGGGACAAGTTTGTGCCTTCTTGGCCTGGAAGATGAAGCCGGTATAGACAGCTCAGCCCTGTCTAGAATTTCTTTATTAAGTTTATTTAAAAAAGAATCAATATTATCACTGTAGACATCCTCATATTTAATTTGTTTAGTTAAGTTATGAAAAGTAGACCAATCTGCCTTTTCATAATTAAATTTAATTTGTTCACTTGAACTTTCTTTTTCAGGTATTTTTGAATTTATTGTGATAAATTGTGGGAAGTGATCAGAACCCATGTTATCATCCAAAATACCCCATGCCAAAGATGCCGAAAGTTTAGGGGTGGCCAATGTGAGGTCTATACAGCTATATATTACTCTCCATTTTTCTAACCTTGTTGGGGTGCCATCATTCATTAGTACTAACCCATTATTTTCTAACCATTTCCAGATATCCCTACCCCTCTTATTAGTATATGATGACCCCTAGAGCTGGTGATGAGCATTAAAGTCCCCAGTTATCACACATTCCTGTAGATTGTTATCTTGAGTAAGAGGTGCAATAATTTTACTCAGTGATAACTGGTCTGCCCCCTAGAGTACAGGTTAACCAGGGTGAAAGGGGGGCCATTTGTATGTATCTTAATGGCTTGTACTTCAAAGATCACTTCCCCTTGATCATTTGATGGATTATCTACAGTGATTACCTCATAGTTAATACTGTTTTTGATATAAATTGCTAATCCCCCTGCTATATTATTTTTTGGTGTGTTAGGACCTGAAAAAAATTTAAATTCTGACCTAAATCCCGGGATGGTCCTAACATAATTTTCTATAAATTTTGTTTCTTGTAAGCACAGGATATCAATTTGGGGGTTATTGTCTATTAAATGTTTTATTTCTACATGTTTATGACTACTACATCCTTGGATGTTAAATGATATGATATTGAATTGTCTAGACATGGTTGAGCTGTTTTGTTTTAACTAAATTTAGTTTGTTCCTAACAAAGGGGGACACACACATTTGATTAATTGACTTCCTGCTAGATTTTAATTTGTGGGGGGTGCCGGGGTCTCTATATCCCCCACCTATCATGGCGGCGCCACTGGAGGTCAGCTTTCGGTATACCTTCTTTTTTTAAATTGGGGATGCCGCAATTGTCTATTTCAGGTTTTAGGCCTAGTTGTGAAAGAAGAGTATTTTTAATAAAGATTTCTAATCTGTTTTTGGCCGGTTTACTTTTATTGTTTATAATGTCCCTAATTAATAGGGTCAAACAGTTAATATCTATATTTTTGACCCTATCATCATATTTGACCTGAATTTTTTCTTGTTTAACCTTGGGTGGGGGGTTAAAGATGTTTGACATGATTTATTGACATTTGGCGGCACCCGCAACTGACTCTTAAGGGGTGTGACCTCTATTTCACATAGGCCCGAAAGAGTTAGATTATTATAGCCCATTGGGGTGACTTCCCCCAATGAGCTGTTCATACAGGATGTATGGACTGAGACTATGGAGTCCTCCTCGGTGACATTGAACACTCCATTATCACTCATGGTTGGATCATCCATGAGAGATGAAGTGTTCTCTGTCCCCGCAGAGGGCCCCACAGTCTCTCTACCATTAGGGGTAGATGTACATTTGCCTCCAACTGTGGGGGTTTTGATATCGGTCCTCTGGTTCGAACCCCTGCTTGAAGTCATAATTGAATCTCCCTTACAGTGGTATGTTGGGGAGGGAGTCCCCACCCCCCCAACTAAGGAGATTTTAGGGAGAGACCCTTGGGGGGTCTTTGTTTTCACAATATCCCCATAGGATTTAATTGGGGACTTATTTGGTACCCCATTTCCCCCATATGGGGAAATGGGGGGAGTGAGCCCAGAGGGGGGAGATTCCCCCTCCACGCTCACTCCCAAAATATTTCCATTAACTCCAAGTTCCCCCCGCTCCCCACATGGGGAGCATGGGGTACGTGTATTTACCCCATTTCCCCATATTGGGGAAATGGGGGGAGATGGCATAGAGGTGGAATTTTCCACCCCCACTCCATCTCTCAATTCACCCATGCTCTCCCCACCCTCCCCCCTGTGGGGAGAACATGGGGGCTGGGTGTTAGTCATTTCCAGGGGGCGGACCGGGAGAAGGCCCCTATCCTCCTCTGCTTTTAGCTGTTCCAGCTCTTTATAGAACAGGGCAGTACTCCTAGACCTATACTTTACATAGGGATTTATGTCCAGTTTTCAAAAGTGGAGTTAAAGAATGACCTTTTCTTATTTTAGTGCTTAATAAGCCACACAGGATTTTTTTTTTTAATTCACATGGATAATTTCAGTGAAAATCTATGCTAGAGTCTTAATCATAAATCTAAACTATTATGACCCTGAAATGAAGACATGTGAAATTTCCAAGAATAACTTAAGTGATCGTAGAGACGGTAGTTACTTAAAACAATTTTAACTTACCCAGAAATGTTCATGTTCAAAAAGTGACATACCGGTAACTCATTAAAAATCCATGTTAGAGTAATGGGTCTCAAGAGTGGCAAAAGTGGCATGGGTATGTGATAATCAGTTATAATGAATTGTAGGGTTATATGTATTGGATAGTCATCTAAAATATGATGCAATTTAAGACTTACATGTATGTGAAATGTTTTAATGAATATCTTAATGGTTAAAATAAGGATATATACTGTTACAACCAAAATAAAAAATGACAACATCAATGATTTTACAGTATATGGTATAGCTAACAACTGTTATTATTTGAAAGTTTTAAAAAGATTAAAAGCATTTCAGTCCATGAATGTTTTTCTATAGGTTTATAGATTAACTTACTTGTCTTCTTCATCTGTTAAGTCATCTTTGCCTTCCATTCTAATTTTCTTTACCAACCAAAGGTGCTTTATGTTCTTTGCTGAAAAATATTTTTTTTTCAAAAGTTTTGATCACATGAACCGTTAATCTGTATTTGTGCGACTGCTTTTCAAAGAACATCAAAGACGCTGCAGACTTTAAACTAGATGCACTGAGCCATTTGTGCTCCTGATGTGTATTCATTCATTATATGCAAGTAAATTTACACACTGTCTATGTGACCTTGCGTGTACATGTAGTTACTGCCAAATATGGTTACACCGATTCATGATGTCAACTAATTAAACTCACAGGTGTTGTGTAAATTATGATCAATTAATTGTGATGTTTCTATCGATGAATTTACAGGGGCACTTATATAATGATCAATGAAATTCTATCCATCTTCCGTTAATGTCAAACCACTCGCGGGAACGTAGACATCATACAGTCTGCGCATCAAAAATCGCAAAAAAAGTTAAAAAGAGTTGTTTAAAAGAGGATAAAAGAATATTTAAAAATGTTAAAAACAGGGACTGGAAAACAAGGGTGAGACATGTTTGATGCACTCTATGGCTGCACTGAACAGCTCTGGCACTGAACTGCTCTGGGGTAGGGAAACTGCAGGGGATAGGTGGTCCCAGTGGTATACTGTCCTAGGAAAGAATGAGAATTTATAATAGTCTGAAGTTGTTGTGAATAACCTATAATATTAGGGATGGCCATAGCATGATGTTCAGGAAAAGGGTGTCAAATATTCTTCTATGGGGATAGCAACCAGACCATGGTGAATCTTACAGAGAAGGGATAACCTGGCATCTATACGTCTGAGTTCTAGTTTTCGAAGGTTAAGGGAGTGAAGTATGTCTGTGACACTAGAGGTCTGACCATAATCAAGCTTAATCCAATCGGGGGCTACTCTTCTTTGGACATTTTCGATTTAATCTATTTCAGTTTTGGTGTGGGGAGACCAACTTCGGGAACCATATTCAAGCTGGGGTCTGACAAACGTCTGGTAAGCAATAGACCTTATGGACTGGGATTAAACTTTATGTTTCTGCGTAGGAATCCTAAGGTTTGGTTTGCTTTCTTGGATGTCCTATGACTGTGAATATGGGCATCCCACATGAGGTTTTCTGATCAATCCATGCCTAGGTATTTAGCTGAGGTAACCGATTCGAATTGGACTCCATGAAGGTAGTATTGTATTGGGATAGGATGTTTCCTTTTTGCGATGTGGATAACTTGACAATTGGAAGTTGGAGGGTTGAAATTCCATATCCCACTCCAACTTTTCTAACCAATTTAGGTCATTTTGGAGGGTGACTGATTGGTTTGCAGACGTCAGAGCAATGTATATTGCAGTATCATCTGCAAACAAGCGGACCTGGGAATTTATGTTTTGTGGGAGGTCATTTATATAGGCGAGAAACAGGAGCCTCAGGGTCCTAGAACGGAGCCTTGGAGGACACCTGAGGATACTGGGATGGAGTTAGAGGAGCTGCCATTCAGCACAACAGACTGCAGTCTGTTATCTAGACCTATTTTAAAGTTTGACCTCTGATTGCATAGTCATGTATTTTCAGCAGTACTTTCTCATGGCTGACCTAGTCGAAAGCCTAACTGAAATCTAAAAGAATCAGATCTACTATACTGAGGTGACCAGGTCATTATCCAACATAACAAGTTGCGTAACACATGACCTTTTTTCCCTTAAATCACATTGGAGGTGGTAAAGGATGTTATGGTTGGTGAATTAAGTGTTTAACAATGGAGTTACAATTTTTATATCATGTCACATAAAAATAAAATGAAATGTGTTAATTGCAGTCCATATTGGCAGTAACTGTGTTAGTTCAAGTATCACCCGGAGATAATGATTAAATTTATTGACAGGCATTGGGAAACACGTAAATTAGACTAAAGATCTGAATATGTGGTAAGTAAAGAAGTATACACAGATGTTGATGTTTTCCTTTTGAGCCTTTGACATTTAACAAAATTTAAGCAACTAAGTATCACATATCGCCCAGTTGCTTAAGTCCTGATTATTACAATTATTAGGTTAATTGTGTTAGCTGATCATAATCAAGTTTTAGTTATATTATATATCTCAGGATAAATACAATGGCCTGAAAAGGGTAGTCAGACTATTCTCTCCCTTACCGTTTCCTTCCCTGACGTTTCCTCCCTGACGATTCTCTCCCTATTTTGGGGAAGAACCGTCTGCATAATTGCAAATATGCAGACAGTTCCCCCCCCACCCCCATTTTTATTTGTATATTATATTTAAAGTATTTAGATGTTAAATAAAATGGTAAGTTTATCATTAATTGATACAAATTAAAGAAAAAATATTTTATTGAAGTATTTAGATGTTAAAAATGGGTATATTTCAATGTGTTTAGTCATTAAAAATAATTATTGAATAATTAATTTGATAGGGATAATAATTAGATATTAATTATTGTGTTTTATTTTTTCTTCTACATTAATTTGATAGGGATAATAATTAGATATTAATTATTGTGTTTTATTTTTTCTTCTTCTTTCATCTTAAAGATTAAAAGTAAATATTTAAAAACATATTAATTGATTGTTTTTCATACCTGAAAAAAATTGCTTTGATGTTAAACTTATTTGATCTGTCTAAATAATAAGTGAATGTGCCTTTAATTAACACTTAAAATGTTGCAACAAACAAAATTTGTTTATTGATAAAATTTTGCTTATATAGAACAGAACAGAACAGAATATTTAATTGGCATTAAATACAAACAATATTTATCTTCCAATGATTCTACACTTGATAGGATGGAAGAGACACAAAATTCCAGAATGACTTTACCTTTCAATGTAAGAGACCAGCAGATTATTGATCAAGCTTATCCAAGTGTAACAGCAATTGTTGAGGAACCTCTGTCACAAACATTGATTGAAGAGCCTCAGGTTGAATTTACAGTGTTTGAAGAAGGCAGCAAAAGAGGTAAGCCTTTACTAGTGGCATCTGATGGGTATAGGTACTATGCAAAGAAAAGAGGAAAGAACTCAGTTCTGTGGTTTTGTTCAAGCCGGAGTGTTACGTGCAAGTGCTATGCCAGTGTGTTGCAGAAGGGAAGTGATTTTGTAAGGGGTAATAACTCTCACCAGCATGGGCCTGAGCCTTCTCTTAAAGACAGGGTTAACGTTTCTGTCAAAGTCCGTAAGGAAGCTAGAGAACAACCTTTCAAAAGTACCATTGAGATTGAAATTTCGCCCAGCTGAACCTAAAGACCTAGACTTTGTGGTTGATATGGACTTCCTTAAGTGTCCAGACTTTTTGGTGGTATTCCTGGTGCCACAGTGAATGGTTGTGTCTTCCATTTTACACAGGCTGTGTGGCGCAAGGTCCAAGAAGTGGGACTGAAGCCAGCATACTCTCGCCGGGCTACCATCTACAACTACATCCGTCAGCTTCTGGGACTTCCATTTCTCCCATACACCCATATTGAGCCAGCATTCCAAGAATTGTCATCTAGAGCAAACAGTGAACCTCTACATGACCTCATCTCCTATATGGAACATCAGTGGATGAACCACCCAATCTTCACCATTGAGTCATCGATGTGTATGGTCTTACCATCCGCACCAACAACGATTGTGAAGGTAATTCTTTTGTGAAAATATTTTTACAATGAACTTCTACATAAATAAATAAATGCACTTGACACACATGAGTTTAAAAATAACTAGCATTAATTTAAAAAAACAAAATTTTCTGATAAGAATTATTTTTATGATCAAACATTGTTGACTTGCATATAAATAGTGTGGAATACTGTATAATGTACTTAATGTTTCCATGGTATAATATTTTCAGGGTGGCACAACAAATTGAACCGAAAGGCTGGGGGCTTGAGCTTGTAATTTTACAGACTGGTACCTGTCTTACAGTGCGAGGCTGAAGAAGTGTCATATGAGTTGCGTCACCTAAGAGATGGTATTTCTACGCGTCGTGTTCGTCCAGCAGCACGCAAGATTGAGGAAAAGATAAGGGAGCTTTGGAAGAACTATTCTGCAGGGAATATTCAGACCAGTGAATTGCTTGAAGGCTGTGCCTCGGCATATGGTCCTCAGTGTGAAGAATAAACATTTCAGGTTGAAATAATGTGAAGTGATGAGTAAAAACTATTAAGAGGAGTGACATGAAGTTAATGTGGCTTTCTGTAAAAACTATTAAGAGGAGTGCTTGAAGTTAATGTGGCTTTCTGTGACTGTTTAATATAACAGACATTGTTTTTTGTATTAGAATTAAATTATCTTTTTTAATAATTTTGATATAATTTACATTTTTTGTGATATGATCATCAATGAGCTTTAAAATGAAAAATTTTCAATTCATGAAATTAATAACACTAAGCATAAATTCGAGTTAATTTTTGATTTCATATTTATTCTATTTCAATTATATCACCTTTTATTCATATAAATAAAAAAAGTCTAACTTAATTAACATATTTTAATTTCCTTGTAATTAATTTCAATAAAATTTATTAAAACTTCATTAATTTTTTACTCCAAGTCATATTTTTGTGATTGAAAATATTTAAGATCTCAGAAGAAATATCCAACAGAGCTGATTTGAACTTGGTATTATATATTGTTTCATGTTAATGACTACATGTTCTTTCAGAAATTTTGTATAAAAGTAAATGTGATTGCATACCAGTTGTTGCTTATTTGTTTTCTAAAATTTGTTACCACCCTATGTGCTATTTAAACAAATAATGAATATCAATAGATTGTTTTTTACAAGGATGGAATGTAAATAAGGAAAGTAGCGAAGTGTTAGATTTGTATAAAAACTTTAAAATTGTTTTTGGATACGAAGCATATTTAGATATTTTACCTAGTTCATTAAGATGTTACATCACTAGATTAAGAATTTCAGCACATGCTCTAAGAATTCAAACTGGAAGGTTTGCCAGAAATAGAATACCTAGAAACGAAAGATATTGCCAATGTTGCCATTCACTAGATTTAGAAGATGAATACCACTTTGTTATTATATGCCCTATCTATTCAGATTTACGTAAAAAATTTATAGCAAAATATTATTATATCAAACCAAGTGTATATAAGTTTTTAGAATTGTTACAAACAGAAAATAAGACTGATCTTTATAAATTAGGGTTATACTGTAAAAACGCAATGTCTATAAGAAATTCGATTATTAATATTACGAATTAGTGAAAAATTGTCTTGAAATATTAAACGTGCTATTAATTATATGCCTGTTAGTGTTTATATGGTTGCTTTGGTCAACCAGTCTGTGTTAGTTTGTATATATGTATGTTTATAGTTTGATGTTATAAATAAGATGTTATTTATTATAAGCTTAATAGTGTTTATATGGATGTTTCTGGTCAACCGCACAGTTCTAATTTAATAGATGATGAGTTATATTTAGTTGTGAAAATATATTATATATTATAAGTAAGCCAAACATTGTTGAAAAGATAGCAAACATTATATGGATGTTTCTGGTCAACCGTATAGTTCTAATTAAATAGATTATTAGTTATATGTCTTATGACTGTGCACAGTTAAGAAATGTATTAAGTAGATTATTTTGTCTTATGACCCAAGTTAGTCGTAAGGCTTTTTCTTAAATTACAACTTTGCAATCGAAATATTTTTTGGAATAGCCAATTGTTAACCTTCCCTTTCGTTTCGTTTAAGGTTAACTGTAGTTTTGGAGTACTATTCCCTTTCAATATAGTATATAGTGTGATACTATAGTTGGTAATTCACTTGTATCTGGTGTTGATTACGTATATATAAATAACTTTATTGCAAGTGGCACAATAATGTACATGTATGTGAAATTCACGCTATCTTTGTCAACATGTTCGTAACACAATATTAAACTATGTAATATATGTTAAACTGATTATGTCAAATCCTATACTGAAGGAAACAAAATAGATTAAACTGTTCACCTTCAAGAAATTTGCAGACTATCCATTGATTTTGTGATTGTATATATGTATGTATGAATGAATGTATTAATGTAAATGACTATGTACTTTGTATACGTCAAAATAAACTTTCTGTTCTGTTCTGTTCTGTTCATTAATTAACATAATTACAGGTGTATATCAGTCACTGTCCAATAATTAATCTCCTACAATGAAGGTGTTGATAGGATTAAAATACTTGAAAAAGGTGTAAAATTTACATGCACGAAATTCAGATAAACAAAACTTAAAAAAAACACTTAATTATCAAACACATTATTTTAATAACATTCATTAAGAAATATAACTAGATTAAGTCAAAACAAAAAAGATAACTTATAAAATAAAAATTGGGGGAGAACTGTCTGCATATTTCAATTTTGGGAGAGAATCGTCAGGGGAGGAAACGGTTAGGGAGAGAACCGTCAGGGGGAGGAACTGGAAAGGGAGAGAATAGTCCGTCATTCCCTGAAAAGTCCCATTATTCAGCTGTTCAGGTATTGGGAATAAAAATATTCTATTATCGTAAACTTAAAGATAACGTCTTGACTAAAAGTCGGTAGGTTTAAAGTTCTACAGTACTGCACCCTTAGCATATTAACATACTGCCTTAGTCTTTTCTTACATATTTAAGTTGATTGTTTTACCATGAAAAAAGTTTTACTTTCATTTTGACATGTCAATTTCCGGTGAATCAGTACCTCCTTTGTGAAGAGTAAGTACAAGGGATAAGCTCTTAAAATACTTTCTGAATAATAAATCTACACGTCGGAAGACATTAACATTCTTTCAAAGCAATAACAAAAACAGGAATAAAGAATCATATTGTTATTTAAAACAAAAATATAAACATTCAGTATCTGCATTTTATAATTTTATACATGTCCATTAACAACTGCCCCCGTACAAAAACAACGTGGATCAGTGTAAAATTAAATAAACAGTGATGACGCTCGAAGCAATAAGGTATCGTAGAGGACAACTTGATATCCTTGACCAGTTACTTTTACCCTCTCAGTCTGTATATATATCAGTGAGTGACACTAAAGATGCATGGGATGCAATCAAAAAAATGCAGGTAAAATATTCGTTCCAATTTTTAACCTTTTTAGTTTATGCACTGAAGTATGTGATTGGAAAGTACAATAGAACAAATAAGCCACAAGTGTGACTACTAATAATCTCTTTTCAGCCTTTGTGAGGCCGTCTGGTAGCTGTATCACAGTGTATAAACTCAAAGGCATGTTACACAATGAAATATTAGCCCAATTGTTTAATTTGTTAGACATACATACATGTATGTACATGTAGTTTATAATGGACCTGATTATGGACCTTGCCAAGAAGTAAAAATATCTCAAAGCAACATCATATTATATTTATAGGGCTACATGAAATGTTTGCAATAAAGATTTGCAAGACGGGGTACAGTGATTTTTTTGTTATTTGTGTTTATCTGCCTGGTGCAATGATGTGTTCTACTAGTCCAAATATTTAGACATAAGCCGCGGATTTGAAGCTGTTTTTAGTTCGACTATGCGAAGAATATGGAGAGCTATTGCAGTCGCCCCGGCGTCTGCGTTGGTTAAAGTTTTTTGTTAAGTCAAATATCTCAATTATTGCTTGAGATATTCAATTGAAACTTACAATACTTACAGTAACAATGTACATCAGATTGACAAGTTGGATATAACTCTCATACAATATTTACAGAATTATGCCCCTTTTTAACTTAGAAATTTTGGTTACCGGGGTAAATTTTTTGTAAAGTCAAATATCTCAATTATTGTTTGTGATATTCAATTGAAATTTACAATACTTTTTTATAGTAACAATGTACATCAGTTTGCAAAGTTGCATAACTCTGCCTGCAATATTTACAGATTTATTTGCTTCGCTGAAACTTAGAAATTTTGGTTAAAGGTCTGAAGAACTATTAAAGATAATTTTTATTTACTTGAAATTTTACACATGTACTTAGGGTCATAATTGAAGGTCACATCTCAAGATCCATTACTCTGCCATGTATTTTGACTGAATTATGCTCCCTTTTGTACTAAAAAAATCTCCTTTTTGTGTCGCCTCTACAGAGTAGTGGCGACATATAGGGATCACTTCTCCATCGTCCGTCTGTCTGTCCGTCCGTCACAAAACTTGTCCGGACTACTCCTCATAACATTTTCCGGTTCAATGATTTTTGTCAGAGTTATGGCCCTTTAATAATTTTATTTTTAAAGTTTGTCCGAACTACTTCTCTTATACCACTTATGCAATTTCAATGAAACTTTACAGGATTGATGTGTATCTCAAGTCCTTACGCATATTGCACGGGTTTTCCGGTTGAATGATTTTGGCTGAGTTATGGCCCTTTGATAAATAGGTGTTTTTTTTTCTGTGTGTTGCCAGATACACAAAAGCTTGACCGGACTACTCCTTATAAACTACTGGTGAAATTTTATCCAAACTTTACAGGAATGATCAGTACCAAGTCTAGTTGTGCACTGTTCGTCTGTCTGTCCGTCTGTCACAAAACTTGTCCCAACATGAAATTGGCCATCATGAGGCGACACATGTGATCACTGATCGCTCTTGTCTTGGTTAAATTTTACATGCAAGTTTTGCATATCTCTGAAACTATTAAAGATACAAACTTGAAACTTCATATGTATATTTGTGGTCATAAATAATCATCACTGAACAGCACTCATATCTGTGTCATGTATTTAGGCTGATTTATCTCCCCCTTTTTTACTTAGTCTCTTGGTTAATGTTTACATGTAAGTTTTACATATCTCAATAACTATCAGAGATTTTGATTTGAAACTTCACTTATGCATGAAGGGTCATAATTGTATGTCACATTACTGTCCATTCAAACTCCAACACGTCCATTACAAAACTTCAAACTTGTTCCTTGATTTTAAATGGAATTTGTTGCATATATTTTTATAAACAAAAATAAGGGTTCCTGATAATTTAATCTTTTTACACATTTTTGTTCACAGGTAGAGGCCTTTTTATAATTAATGTGTACTCTTGTGTACAGAAGTACTTTTGCTATCATAATTATTCACATCTTTATTAAGACACCTTTACACATTGCAATTTGACCGAAAGTGTACTTTGTTCAAAAGTGTTTTTGCTTTGTTCAAATGTTTATTTGCTTTTATGATATTCAGATTCTTATTGGTAACTTAAGCTTATGACGGCATCTTCCATTTTATATATTCATAAATACTAATAAAAAGTCATATATAACTGCATCATTTTGATTAAATATTTCAATTTTCACTTGCAGTACTTCAAACTTCTTTTCAAAAGTCATGTACATAATAATATTCTGATAAATATAAAATGCATTTCCACTAAACCAGCCTTGCTAGCGCACAGGTAGAGTGCTGGTCTGTCAAAAGGTAGACCTGTATTCAATCCCTGTCCTTTCCATTAGTCCAATGCCATTATTTTGATAACTGTTCTAATTGTTGAGCATATGCTGTCATTAGACAGCTCTGATTTGCTTATTTCTAAATTTATGCCCCTTTTTATACTTAATGAAACTCATGGTTAACTTTTTGCTTGTAAGCTGGTATCTCCCTAACTACTGAAGGGAATGGAATGAAACTTAACATACATTTTCACTGTGATTTTTTAACATGTTTGGCACAGGTCCCATAACTTCAATTTACTTATTTACATATTTATGCCCCTTTTTATACTCAAGGAAACATCCTTGTGACAACTCTATCAAATAGTCGAGCATTGCTGTCCTCTGACAGCTCTTGTTTACATTGGTCAAATCTGCTTGGCATTTTCTGATAAACGTCAAACTGTAGAAAAAGAAAATGCGATGCCTTTCAATGAAGGACTAGTGTTCTACATGTACAAGTTTACTGTAATTGATAATGCAATAAATCTTAGTATCTAACATCAATATATTTGAACTGTTGAAGCAGTAAACATATTAAAAACTTGACTAGGAAAACAGTTGACCAACACCTGCAAACTTTGTAACATACAAGATGATGAGTTTACTAATGTCATTATTAGTTTATACAAATTTATTTAAGTTTGATTGTGTTGAAATCTATAAGCTTATTGAATCAGTTCCTGTAACCAACCAGACAGTAATTAGCAATGAGTGTAAAGTTTCTTGCTCACAGAAACAACAGCTTGTTCCTGAAGGAGTTAATGACTTTGCACGGCCAGCAATACTTAGATTACTTGTCCAAAGCATTGCTTGTCCAGAGTGTTAAACAATTGGCCACACTGCCATTTTTTGTCGCCTTGAAAAGGCGACATATAGGGGTTACTTTTGTTGTTGTCAGTGTCGGCGTCCCCTAAAGCTTGTCCGGAGCATAACTCAGTCACTATAAGTCGGATTGACTTCAAACTTGGTATGCATGCTTCTTTCAATAACCCGAAGTGCAGTGCACAAGGACCGGTACTATGCACTTCTTAATTTTTGAGTTATTGCCCTTTGTTAATTTTCATACTTTAATTTTGTCCAGGCTATTTCTCCTAAAGTATAAAAGCTACGGACATGAAACTTCATAGGATGATAGATTAAATTTGACATACAGTTATATATTTCTGCAAATTTGTCAGATATTTCTATGTATTAATTTATATGTTGCATATATTTGTTAAAAATTTCACTGAATAATAGCACAGCCACTAGAGTATTTGTCCATTCATCTTTTACTGCCAAGGGTAGTAATAGAATGATTAAATTAGGCTTCAATAATTCAATTATTACTTCATGTTAATGAGGCCAAAAATAAAAAAAAAGTTTACGCAAGTTTCAATGAGGAACACCAGGGTAAAGTTACTATGAATCACATTATAGGTGCGTGGTGCTCCAGCTATTGCCATTGTTGGTTGTCTAAGTTTAGCAGTAGAGTTGATTGACACAGACTTCACTAACACTGACGATGTTGCTTCATATGTGGCATCAAAACTACAGTACCTTGTATCAGCCAGACCTACAGCTGTCAACATGAAAGAAGCTGCTGACAGATACACAAGTCTAGTGAAAAAAATCACACTTGAAAATTCAGCATCAGTCGAGAGTGTAAAGAAAAGGTAAGCTCAAAAATAGCAGATGGTATAAGATATATACAGTTTAGTCTTGCTGTAAAGATAAATCAAGATTTTAAATTTTTTTTTTTATTTAATCTCAAGTTAATTCAAATTCCATGCCATTTTATTTATTATCTTAAACAGCAACCATTAATCTTAAAGGTTAACATTTTTTTTTTGCAGTTATAAATAAAAAAAACTTTTATTGCAGAAATTAATTTAAATGTTGAAAATTCCAAAATGAATATGTCTAATTTGACTAGCCTTACTGAGTCAGGATTTATTTGTACTGGTTTGTATTTACCAAAATGATACCAAAGGTGCAACTCCTTTAAAGGCACATTATGCCTCAGAAATCCTTTTTTATTAAATTCTTTAAAAAAACACATGTCAAATAATGTTTTAATAATGAATTTAGAACATGTAAGATATTTAACAGCTGAAGAAAGTAGTGCTGAATCACAGTGCAGTAATGTGTAGTAAAGGTAGCAAAATGTAAACAAATAGTATTTTGACTTCCATACAAAATACTAATTCATTATAATTATACCAATTGCCAGCAAAGCAAAAGATGCAAAGATAGTTCTTTTATATGGCAAATTAAGTATTTTTTGTGGAACTTGTAACACTCAGACACCAAATATTTAAAATTTTGAGAAATAAAAATGATAGCATTTCTGACGCATAATGTGCCTTTAAATATCCAATATATTTATTTATGAATTGTAAACAAACAATATAAACATAAATAATAATATATATTGCCTATCTGCAATCATAGAATATTATATAAATTACTATATAACATATGTTTGTATCAGCTTATCAAGGTTACATTTACATATCCTAAGCCTAAGGTGGTAAACAAGGTAAATATCCAATTAACCTCTTTTTATTTTACACTTATTTAATTTTACATTTAAACATTCTATAACCCTAAATCATAAAATATAACTTCCTGAAATCCAAGATTTTATTTTGAAATAGTAACAAACAGTAAAAAAGAAACTATTATGTCTATGTAAAATGTAAAATTCGCACAAGATTTACTCAAACATAGGAATATCTGAGTACGGTGACAATTTAGTAATGGCAAGTTATAGGTAAGTATAGGATAATCGACCGGAGTACGAGGTCTTTCTGTTTACTATATATTTTGCATTTAACTTAGCTTTTCCCTTTAAATAATAATAAAAAAAGCGAAATGTGCAATTTGTCAATAATAAAGTGAATAGGTCTGTTATGGAAAAGTATGTTAAAGAATGAAATAATTATGTTGATTTGAGTATTTCATATCAGACAATGCAGATTCTAGGACATTTTGCCCCGGGGACCGTTTTGCCCCAAATTTTTTTTTGGCTGTTGTCACTTGTTATCTCGTGTATAAGATTTTTGTAATGCCAATGGGAACATTATAGTTCATTTATTTATGGATGCTATTTTGACTTTCACCAAATTTGCATGAGAGACATTTTGTGTATTTGAGAAACAATGAAATTTCAACAATGAAATAATTGGGGTAGCCAAACAATTCAACAAACAGTAAAAATTTTAACATTTTTAAAACAGGGAGGGGGCAAATGTTCGCCCCTTCCAAAGATATGAGGGGGCAAATGACCACCACTGCAGAAAAGGGGGCAAACTTTCGAGGGGGCAATTGTCCGAAAAGCAATGTCCGGATACCCAGCAGACCACGAAAGACTTACATATGTATATTTTTGACAAGTGTGAGATACATGAACCGAAACTATATTTTATATAGCAGATAATAAAATAGAATAAAACATTTAAAATCGTAATAAGTATGCTGTGATTACTGCTATATAGTTTCATAGATATGAACTTGAAGCGTCCATTTTGTTATATTGTGAATTTAATGACATAAAAACCACTTGGATTACTATTATTTTGAAAAATGACGTGATTAAATAAATGTTAAATGTGTCCTAACTTTGACATGCTATCCATTATTTGGATTTAGATTTAATACTGTAAAACACTTATTATTCGCGAGAAATTTATTTTCGCTAATATTCGCGAGTTTTCTAAGACGCGAATTCATATTTCTCGCGAATATTTCACTTTGTCTATACACTTGTCCGAAAATGAACATAATTAGCGTATCCGAAAAATGGGATACAAGGGATATATATCTGCGGGAAAGATCGAAACCAGTTCTACTAGTTCATCCATGTAGCTTTTCAAAGTTTCGCAGCATAACAATATCGTACAGCTTACAAAGTAGTATTACCTGTAACAATTTGGTTTATTGAGGAATGGGAAAAAATTCTCACTGCATATAAACTGTGTCAAGGAATGTAACTGTACTTGCATATTAAAAAAACAAATAATGCGTCGAACAAATTTTAATGGTATTTCTACAGATTGTTTCTAAAATTAATTGTGAAAATCTGTTCAACTTAATGGATTAATTGAAATTCCAACACACAATTAATCAAGGTCAATGTTTATTGAACAATACCGGCCTATAAATGACCGGAATAACTGTTTTGGTATTTGGTACAAATAGCTTTAGCCACCTGCAAGTTGTTTGTTAACATTTCTATTTATTGTATCCTATTGTATTGTACTACAGGTTTAAGCCGGAGGGTAAATATAATCGTTTATACAGGTTAGGCAAATTACAGTACCGTTTAATTGATTTTCGTCTGCTTGCCTTTTTTTTTAATGGCTAATCAGGGAAACTTTAACACTTTGCATGCTGGGGAAATTAGGACAATACATGACAAACACAGTGAACACATATCAAAATAGTTAATCCAAACTTTATTTGACATATTTTTAGGCAGACGGTTTCCACTAAACAAGAAGATTAGCAAGCTATCAGAAAAATCGATACAGATTATAAAATGCATTCGTCGCACAATAAACTACGCAAAGTTAGTGAACGAACAGGACAGAAAATCTCCGAATGACATTGGGTTTCCGGTTTCACATTTTTCGGGAAGACGCGAATTCATGTTGATGCGAAATAAATATTTTGGACATTTTGTCTCAAATTCGCGAAATAAGGTTCTCACGAAAAATAAGTGTTTTACAGTATTAGGATGCTGGAATAATTGCTTAGTGTATTCAATAAACATTATCTTGTTTAAAAAATCAATCTCGATTTTGTAAGACAGGAACATTATGACACTCATTTACATTTTATTAACCAGGTTTTCCGAAGGAAAAAACTGGTTATTAGATTGAGGCATGTCGGCGGGCTGATGGGCGGACGGGCGGGCGGGCGTAAACAATTTCTTCTGTGCGCAACTCCTCCTACATTTCTCAACGGATTTTGACCAAACTTTCACAGAAGCTTTGTCATCAAGTGCCCTGGCGCATATTGTCGGGGTTTTGCCATTGGATAATATTTGACCTAATTATGGCCCTTTGTTGTTTTTTCTTATATAGAATATATAGTGAACTATTTCTTCTGTGCGCAAACTCCTCCCATCATTTCTCAACAGATTTTGACCAAACTTTCACAGAAGCTTTGTCATCAAGTGCTCTGGCACATAATGTCGGGTTTTTGCGATTGGATAATATTTGACCTAATTATGGCCCTTTGTTTTATTTTCCTTATATAGAATATATAGTGAACAATTTCTTCTGTGCGCAACTCCCTCCTACATTTCTCAAAGGATTTTGACCAAACTTTCACAGAAGCAATGTCATCAAGTGCCCTGGCAGGCATATTGTCCAGGTTTTGTGATTGGATAAATATTTGACCTAATTATGGCCCTTTGTTTTTTTTTTCTTTATGTAGAATGTATAGTGAACAATTTCTTCTGTGCGCAACTCCTCCTAACATTTCTCAACGGATTTTAACCAAACTTTCTCAGAAGCTTTGTTATCAAGTGCCCTGGCACATATTATCGGGGTTTTGTGATTGGATAATCATTTAACGTAAATTATGGCCCTTTGTTTTTTTCCTTATACAGAATATATAGTGAACAATTTCTACCGTGCGCAACTTCTCCTACATTTCTCGACTGGATTTTGACCAAACTTTCACAGAAGCTTTGTTATCAAGTGCCCTGGCGCATATTGTCGGGGGTTTTGTGAATTGGATAATATTTGACCTAATTATGCCCTTTGTTTTTTTTTCCTCAATATATAGTGAACAAATTCTTCTGTGCTGAACTAGTCCTACATTTCTCAACAGATTTTGTTCAAACTTTCACAGAAGCATGTCAATCAAGTGCCCTGGCGCATATTGTAAAGGTTTTTTGATTGGATAATTTTTGACCTAATTATGGCCCTTTGTTTTTTTTTTTCCTTATACAGAATATATTTTTTCCTTATACAGAATATATATAAGTGAACACTTCTTCTGTGGCAATTCCTCCTACATTATTCATGTTTTACATTGCACATAGTTACATTGTTTATTGCTTGTATTTGTATTTCAAATACAACATATTTATCTACAATGGAGATAATTGAAAACCTGGTTTCGTGGCATTGCCATGTTTCTTGTTTCAATTTTTCATTTTTTATTGTATTTCATGTTTTCTTTGTCTGCGCATTGGTAGGTCTATCTTTTCACGAGTATTTCATGACCAGGTCTGTCTGACTAGAACAGACCTGTGCATGTGCAAAAGATAGACCTCATAAAGGACTTTCTTTTGTTTAAACAGGTCTATCCGAAAAATATAGACCTGTCACAAACAATAGACAAAATGGCCGCTAGAGCTGAAAATAGAAAAATCTTGTCCCGCCTTCACAGGTCAAACTACTGGTGGGATTTCAACCAAACTTTACAGGAGTGATCAGTACCATCCCTAGTTATGCACATCACTGGCACGTTCCGCTTAGCTGCACAAAATGACCGCCAGAGCTAAAGATAGAAAATCTTGTCTGGCCTTCACAAGTCAAACAACTGGTGGGATTTCAACCAAACTTTACAGGAGTGATCAGTATCATCCATAGTTGTGCCCAATACCAGCATGTTCCGCTACCCTGCACAAAATGGCCGTCAGAGCTATAAATAGAAAGATCTTGTACGGCTTTCATAGGTCAAGCTACTGGTTGGATTTCAATGAAACTTCACATCCATAGTTTTGGGAGACATATGTTTTTGTGACAGAAACCCTTCTAGTTATACCCCTGCACAACAAAGTTGTAAGGGGGGTATACTGGAATCAGCTTGTCCGGCCGTCGGGCGTCCGTCGGTTTTTTTCTTGTCCGCCCAATAACTTAAGAATCCTTTGACCCACAGTCTTAATATTTGGCATGGAGGTTAGTCACGATTAGTAGATGACCCCTATTGAGTTTGAGGTCACCAGGTCAAAGGTCAAGGTCACAGGGGCCTTGACTTCAAAAAGCTTGTCCGCCCAATAACTTAAGAATCCTTTGACCCATAGTCTTCATATTTGGCATGGAAGTAAGTCATGATTAGTAGATGACCCCTATTGATTTTGAGGTCACCAGGTTAAAGGTCAAGGTCACAGAGGCCTTGACTTCAAAAAGCTTGTCCGCCCAATAACTTAAGAATCCTTTGACCCACAGTCTTTATATTTGGCATGGAAGTAAGTCATGATTAGTAGATGACCCTATTGATTTTTGAGGTCACCAGGTTAAAGGTCAAGGTCACAGAGGCCTTGACTTCAAAAAGCTTGTCCTGCCCAATAACTTAAGAATCCTATGACCCACAGTCTTTATATTTGGCATGGAGGTTAGTCATAATTAGTAGATGACCATATTGATTTTGAGGTCACCAGGTTAAAGATCAAGGTCTACAGGGGCCTGACTTTAAAAAGCTTGTCCGCCCAATAACTTAAGAATTCTTTGACACAGAGTCTTCATATTTGGCATGGAGGTTAGTCACGATTAGTAGATGACCCCTATTGATTTTGAGGTCACAGGTCAAAGGTCAAGATCACAGGGGCCTTGACTTCAAAAAACTTGTCCGCCCAATAACTTAAGAATCCTTTGACCCAGAGTCTTCATATTTGGCATGGAGGTTAGTCACAATTAGTAGATGACCCTCCTGATTTTTGAGGTCACCAGGTCAAAGGTCAAGGTCACAGGGGCCTTGACTTCAAAAAGCTTGTCCGCCCAATAACTTAAGAATCCTTTGACCCACAGTCTTCATATTTGGCATGGAAGTAAGTCATGATTAGTAGATGACCCCTATTGATTTTGAGGTCACCAGGTTAAAGGTCAAGGTCACAGAGGCCTTGACTTCAAAAAGCTTGTCCGCCCAATAACTTAAGAATCCTTTGACCCACAGTCTTCATATTTGGCATGGAAGTAAGTCATGATTAGTAGATGACCCCTATTGATTTTGAGGTCACCAGGTTAAAGGTCAAGGTCACAGAGGCCTTGACTTCAAAAAGCTTGTCTGCCCAATAACTTAAGAATCCTATGACCCACAGTCTTTATATTTGGCATGGAGGTTAGTCATAATTAGTAGATGACCCATATTGATTTTGAGGTCACCAGGTTAAAGATCAAGGTCTAAGGGGCCTGACTTTAAAAAGCTTGTCCGCCCAATAACTTAAGAATTCTTTGACACAGAGTCTTCATATTTGGCATGGAGGTTAGTCACGATTGGTAGATGACCCCTATTGATTTTGAGGTCACCAGGTCAAAGGTCAAGATCACAGGGGCCTTGACTTCAAAAAGCTTGTCCGCCCAATAACTTAAGAATCCTTTGACCCAGAGTCTTCATATTTGGCATGGAGGTTAGTCACGATTAGTAGATGACCCCTCCTGATTTTGAGGTCACCAGGTCAAAGTCACAGGGGCCTTGACTTCAAAAAGCTTGTCCGCCCAATAACTTAAGAATCCTTTGACCCACAGTCTTCATATTTGGCATGGAAGTAAGTCATGATTAGTAGATGACCCCTATTGATTTTGAGGTCACCAGGTTAAAGGTCAAGGTCACAGAGGCCTTGACTTCAAAAAGCTTGTCTGCCCAATACCTTAAGAATCCTTTGACCCACAGTCTTTATATTTGGCATGGAGGTTAGTCATAATTAGAGGATGACCCCTATTGATTTTGAGGTCACCAGGTTGAAGGTCAAGGTCACAGAGGCCTTGACTTCAAAAAGCTTGTCTGCCCAATAACTTAAGAATCCTATGACCCACAGTCTTTATATTTGGCATGGAGGTTAGTCATAATTAGTAGATGACCCATATTGATTTTGAGGTCACCAGGTTAAAGGTCAAGGTCTTAGGGGCCTGACTTTAAAAAGCTTGTCCGCCCAATAACTTAAGAATCCTTTGGCCCAGAGTCTTCATATTTGGCATGGAGGTTAGTCACGATTGGTAGATGACCCCTATTGATTTTGAGGTCACCAGGTCAAAGGTCAAGATCACCAGGGCCTTGACTTCAAAAAAATTGTCCGCCCAATAACTTAAGAATCCTTTGACCCAGAGTCTTCATATTTGGCATGGAAGTTAGTCACGATAAGTAGATGACCCCTCTTGATTTTGAGGTCACTGGGTCGAAGGTCAAGGTCACAGGGGCCTTGACTTCAAAAAGCTTGTCCACCCAATTACTTAAGAATCCTTTGACCCACAGTCTTCCTATTTGGCCTGGAGGTTTATCATGACCATTAGGTGACCCCTATTGATTTTGAAGTCACTGGGTTAAAGGTCATGGTCACAGGGGCCTTGAATTCAAAAAGCTTGTCCGCTCAATTGCTTAAGAAGGCTTTAGTCTTCATATTTGGTATTGAGGTGGTTAATGACTTGTAGATGACCCCTATTGATTTTTAGGTGAATGTGTCAAAGGTCAAGGTCACAGGAATTTTTCTATAATAAGCTTGTCTGCTCAAATGCTTAAGAATGCCTGTCTGCAGTGTATTGATTTTGACATTTTCACATTTGAAGCATACATGGAATACATAACTTAACTTAGCAATGCACTGGCTTAGCTACCTCAGATATTGCAGAGAGGTTGTCTTTAAGCTGTCAATGGTCACTGTTGATTCTGACAAAGTGGTATGTGGGGGTATTCACGCAATGACAGTGGCAGTTCTAGTTTCATTAGTTAACTAGAATAAGTAAATTAGATACAACTATTATCTCTTGTTCTATGAGATATGGTAGTCTGCATCCCTATTATAGGTCATGTTAAATTGATCTTTCTTTAAAAAATTGAAATTTTTTAAATGACACTGTTTTTGTACAATGTTCGACTATGTGTCTGGAGTTTTTTTTTAAGGTAACTTTAATCTACTTTGTGTGTATTCAAATAAATGTATGTTTATTTTCTTTTTACATAGAGACAGCTGTGTTGCAGTTATTAATATTTTCAATTATGAAACTTGAATATAATCATACCTAAATACAGAATATACATGTACTATATTATTAAAAATTTGTCATATTTTGAAATTGATAAAAAGATCACAGCAACAAATTTTTTTAACACCTCTGAAGTAAACCATTGTGTTCACTCAATATACCATTGTAATCTTGATGTAAAGTACATGTGGTTTGTAAGTGGTTCTCTACAAAAGTGCTATAGATAATATTACACCCTTTGGGTCAAAATTGATCTTGTCAATGGTTTTTTTTTAATACAAAGACTGATATAGAAAATTGATTTTACAACATCCTCTTAAACTAGAGGATATAGAGCAAATATATATATATATATGTATGTGCGTGTATTAGTTAGCAAACTTCTACTTATATTTAATAAATAAAGGCCTTGGGGTCAAAAAATAGCCCTGCTCTTTGAAACTTTTCATATATTTTACATTTACTTAAATTGGCAATTATATAAGTGTGACAGGCCCACTAAGTTTTCTTGCTTTATTTTGAAAAAAATCATGTCATTGAATGGTTTATTTCTTTGGAAGGTTTGCTATGTCAGGTTTATTTCAAGTTTACTCCTACTTACTATGACATATTGTACAGTTTATGTGACTAACAGTTTTAGAGTGAACACCAGGAACAAATTATATGTTAATATCATTACATAAAAATATTTCAGAATGGTTGAGGAATTTGAGCAGATGTTTAAAGATGACGTAGCGACAAATAAAGCTATGGGTAGTTATGGTGCCGACCATATTCTCAGCAAGTATAAGAATAAACCAGTCAGCATCCTCACTCATTGTAACACAGGTTCACTAGCTACAGCTGGATATGGTACTGCTTTAGGTAAAACGATAATTCTTACAAATAGAGTTTATAGAACTATAAAACGACATTAGATGAAATAATACAGTTGCATTTTTTGAAGATGCAACATGTACATGTATGTCTAAAGAATTCAGTACATGAATTTATTATTTTATCAAGGAAGGTTTGGGTGTATCTAGGTTATATTTTGCCTTAATCTAGATTACATAGAAACACTACAAGGAAATACCAGACTTGATTTATGCATATTCTGTTTCATATTTACTGTGTTATTCCCATTTACAAAATTAAGAGCCAGGATTAGTCTAGATAATTTCCTTCTTGTTAATTTGAATAAGTATGACATGAGTTTTGATTTAGTTACATTAATATATGATGGTCAGATTAGGGTATCAGCAGACAGTAATCTGCTTATTGTCATTTTATTCATAGAAATTTGACTAAACATGACTTAGAATGATACATATTTTAAAACTGAAAGTTGGATATTATAAAGGAGAAAAGTAGGAACAATGACACAGCATTCAAGTACTATATAATATTTTAGGGGCTTCCGTGGCTGAGTGGTTAAAGTTAGTGATTTCAAACTACTAAGTCTTGCTTCTTACTACTGTGGGTTAGAATCCCATCAGGGACTTTGGATTCTTTCATTTGAGGAAGCTACTCAGCTAGCTTACAGAACATATGTGGTTCTACTCAGGTGCCAGTTTGTGCCTGAAATATTGCACAGAAGGGCATTTCACCAATAAAGATGAAAAGTTGCTATATGACCTATACTGTGTTGGTGCAATGTAAAAGCTAACAAAAAAACAACAACAAAAAACAACAAAACAACATCTTTCTTTAAGAGAATGTTTTACACCTGGAGTATAATCTTCTGTTATAATACAGGTGTAATAAGAAAACTACATGAGATGGAGAAGCTTTCACATGCATTTTGTACGGAGACACGCCCATACAACCAGGGAGCTAGACTTACAGCATATGAACTTGTATATGAGAAAATACCATCTACTCTAGTCTGTGATAGCATGGTTTCCATGGTGATGAAGGAGAAGAATGTGTCAGCTGTTGTAGTAGGAGCAGATAGGGTTGTGAGGAATGGAGACACAGCTAATAAGATAGGAACTTACCAGATAGCAATCTGTGCCCAGTATCATAATATACCATTCTATGTAGCTTGTCCAACTACAACATTTGATTCTAATTTAGCAACTGGCAAGGACATAGTAATAGAAGAAAGACCTCATAGCGAGATGACTCATGTGAAAGGTGTCCAGATAGCTGCTGAAGGTAGGCACTTTATAATAATGAAATAGGTTAATATAACATTTATAGTTAGACTCGAAAATTAAAAATATTCTTCATGTAACACCCTTGTAGTGTTGATCCTCGGTGGAATATCTGTGTACATTTTACCAATTATAGTTCCAATTACTAACAGGAAATTGTCATGAAATCGGGTTTTCTACAATAATAATTGATTCACAAAACTCTAATTGTATACCCAAGGGCACTTGTTGACATCTGTTCTTTGAGGGTTTGCCCCAGAGCAATATTGTAATAGTTGCACTTTGAAAAGAATTTCTGTATAGTATATAATACAATGTATATTAAAACAACAACAAAGGATCTTAATTACACAAATAAATGACAGTAGTATAAATGCTGACAGTCTGTGCCAGGGCACTTGATGACGAGTGTTCTTTGAAAGTTTGGTTGAAATCCCTAGGGAAATTTAGGAATTTGCCTGTCTAGTATCCGGATCTTGGCTTCTGGCAACCTGGTTAAAAAGAATACAGATTTTAGCTCCTAAAATCAATGAATGTGGATCCTAATTATGTTGACATTATCTAATAATTTTTACTATCAGTTAAAAGCACCTTACCAAAATACACAAGATTTATAATACAGTTGTAGATCTTTTTAGTCCCCTACCGGTTTAATCGGAGGGGACTTTAGGTTTACCCTCCGTCCGTTTGACAATCTGTCTGTCAGTCCGTCCGTTCGTCCACAAAACTGGATCCCGCGATAACGCAAAAAGTACTAAAAATATTTTTATGAAACTTGATATATGGATAGATGGCAGTATGGAGATTATGCACGTCTTTTTTTTTTCTTCCTATGTTGAAAATTCTGGTTGCTATGGCAACAAATAGTCTGAAAATATGGCAAATTTAACACATAAACTGGATCCAGTGATAACTTAAAAAGTACTGAAAATATTTTTATGAAACTTGAAATATGGGTAGATGGCAGTCTGGAGATTATGCACATCTTTTTCTTTTCTTCCTATGTTGAAAATTCTGGTTGCTATGGCAACAAATAGCTTGAATTTCAAGATTTCTGATTTATTTAAATTTTTCAGCTTTTTCACTATAAGTTTTTTATTTCTTAAGGTGTTTACTTCAAACTTTAAATATAAGTTTCTTCTCATCAACCACATCATATGTGAAAAGGTTTACAACTCTAGCACAAAAATTATCAGTATTACCTCCCTTGAACTTACAATTTTTATGAAAAAAAATGTCTTTTTTAAATTACTTCTTTATTTCCTAATGTATCTACTTCAAACTTCATATATGTTTCTTATTATCACTCAACATTTTTGAGAAGGTTAAATACTCTAGCAAGACTATTTCCAGAATTATTTCCCCCTTGAACTTAGATTTTTTTCGAGAAATTGGTATTTTTCACTCCAACGTCTTCATTCCTTATAGGATTTACTTTAAAATCCCACATCGTAATAATATGACAAGGTTGTATAAACATAATTTCCTTACTAGGCAGGGAAACTTAAAACATTATGTGATATAGACAAACTTAGAACTCAAAAGATTAAAGTTCATTCATGTCATTCATTCACTGGTAAAATTGAATGGCCAATGGCCCATCAGAATGTTGCTGGGGTTTTACCGGTAGGGGACTTATGGATTGCTTGCAATACTATGATAATTGCTTGTTACATGTAGCTCTATGAAATATAAAGATGTACATGTATTTGTTTAACTTTAAGGTAATAAAATTTTGTAAGTCATTCTAACATGATTTCAGCTTTGTTGCAGTAATTATGTTTACAATTAAAGGAAATCAGCTTGTTTTCCTCTGGAGTGGAAAACTCTGTGATTGTTAAATCTGTATTGATCATGGCAAACTATTGTCATACATATTGATTATCATTGAAATTATTTAAGTTTTCAGAACCAATGACCCAAAACCTAGAATTGCATGTTAATTGATACCTGATAAAAAGCTGAAATTCTTTATCTTATTTACTTTGAAAGCACTTCTAAGAAATAAGGTTTACAATAAAAATCAATACAAATTAGGTTAAAGAGTACATGTTTCTTAAATAGTATAGTAAATAAAAAACACTGATAGAGTGTGGGTTTTGATAGGATGTAGGGTTCTATATATGGGAAATTGCAGGCTGATATTCAAATATTTACTTGCCTCTTCATGTTTTGTAATATATTGATTCCTTATTTTCATTAATGATTTTTTATTGGAAAACAAACATTCTCACTAACATATTTGAATGTTCACTTCACTTGAAGTTGACTAAATGTTAATTAAGCTTGTTTGGAGAAATACTATTATTTCTCATCAGATGATTCTGCTCTTGAGTGGAAAATAAACACCTCAATGATAAAACAATACAGGAATGATCATTCAATGGTCTTACAAAAAAAGCTGATTAGACTTTACAGCTAAACAAAAGGGAAAATGAAATGACATCTCCTTTTTCACTGGTCTGATAGGACATGAAAATCTCCTTCTGGATTGCTGTACAGATTAAGATGAAACTTTCAAGGAATGATACTTTGTTGTACAGAAATAGCTGGAATTCATTTGGTCAACTTATCAACATGGCCAATAAAGCTAAAAAATAGACATAAGCTTTATATGACATTATTAAATAACAACATCTCGGCTGGTTTTTCAAGTAGTACTTTTTAAGTAACTTTTAATACTGCATGGAAAATTGATAGTTATGTTTTGTACTTTAACTATAAGCAATGTTGAATAATTTTCTGTGTGGAAGCTATACAGGTTGGTGGGTCTAGCCATGTGCCGGTTTGTGCTTGTATTTATTTTTCAGAGGAGAAATATAGGGGGTTTGCCTCCTCCAATAAAGCTGCTGTAAGAGGTTAACAGTGTTGTGACTTGAAACTCGTTATTTTATATTGTTATGTTATAATATAGAATTTGTCCTTGTGTTTCAGGTATAAATTGTTTTAATCCAGCATTTGATGTGACGCCAGCAGACTTGATTACTGGAGGAATTATAACAGAACATGGGGTATTTCCAGCTGACAAAATCTATGTTGAACTTAAATCACGATCCATACTTGGATGACCTTACAGTCTGTGTGTTAAATGAATTAGATCTATGTTTGAAAACATGCAGCTTTTATTGTTTATATCAGATATTTTTATTAACTGTCTTCACATCGATTGTGTTCAATATTTTTTATAATAATTAGTGTTATATGTGTCTAGTCAGATCATAATTATTTGTGTTGGGTTATCCTGTAAAAATTGAAATAGAATAAATCCTAATACTAGTAAACAGTATATATAAAATTTTCATTTTTTGTATCGCCTTGAAAAAGTCGACATATAGGGGTTACTTTTGTTGTGGTGTTAGGCTTGTCTGGAGCATAACTCAGTCACTATAAGTCAGATTGACTCCAAACTTGGTATGCATGCTTCTCTCAATGACCTGAAGTGCAGTGCACAAGAATCGTGACACTGCACTTCTTATTTTTTGAGTTATTGCCCTTTATCCGAGCCATTTCTCCTAAACTATAAAAGCTAAGGCCTGAAACTTCATAGGATGATAGATCTCATCGGTACTCTGTATTTCATGATTTTTGATTTATTGCCCTTTGTTAATTTTCATAGGCATGTGGTCAATATAAATTTGATAGACTTCAAATTTGGTATGCAAGCTTTTTTCATTGACCTGAAGTGTCCTCCATTTGATCTGTCTGCGTAAAACTTTTCCATGTTTTTTTTTATTTTAGATAATATAACAGTTTTATTAATCCTGACGTAACATTGTTACAATTAGTTCAGATGCCACTAAAGTTAAAGGTACATGTGTTTATAAATAACCTTTTTTTAAGAAGAAAATGCCTAACTGACAACTATACTGTTGACAAGGCGACACATCTGACTTGCAGAGTTCTAGGTTTTTTCCTATTTTTGATAATTTTTATATGGTACTGTTTTACCCAGTATGCAAGTTGTTTAATTTTGACTGCAATGTTTTGTGGATTAAAGATCTTAGAGATGTGAAATAATGGTACAGGTATTGTATTTGAGTAACTTTATGCAATTTATTACATTTTGTAAAAGCTGTGATTTGTTCATATAGTCATCATATACCATTGTATGTCAGTAAAGGGAAGTCTTTAAATCTGTCCAATTAAATATTTTACCATTTTATGTAGTAAACAAAAACAATTTGAATTTGACATAACATATAAGTTAAATTACTAACTGGAAGACTAAATTTCAGCAAAATAAGAAGTAATCTTATCACGTTATGAGGGAAAATTTTACATGAAACATTTAATTCTTATATTTATTTTATGACTTTTTCAATGAAAAAAAAAGAAATATTCAATTTTATATTGATTTTATGACTTTTTCTATTGAAAAAAAACCCTACAGGTTTCATTTGGGAATAAAGTTGTACTGTGACAAATAGCCTTCATGAAGTTGTCAAAAAGCTAGATCTGTTCTCTTTTTTTATGCAAGGGTAGAAGATTATAGTGAATAGCAGGAAACTATGGAATATTTTTAATATTATGTTGTTGTTTTTTTTTCAATTTGTTTTACAAAAAGAATATTTAATTATATTTTATTTTAAACTTAATTTGTCAAATAGAGATATTTTTGCAAGATTAAAATGTGCTTGATCAGGTTATGGGAGGTAATTAGCTTTCTTGTGAGATTTAATACTGAAATGATGCTGGTATGATACTGTTGTTACAATTATAAAATGGGAAGGTAGTATTATGCAAAAAATTTTATTAAATCAGAAATGTGAAATCTTTAAATTAGTAAAACTCATTCTTTGAATAAAACATGAAAAAGTTTTCTTCTGTAATGTAAAAAAGTTTAAGCACTTTTTGAAGCAGAACGCTTCACTGGTTGCATCCAGGTAAAGCTGTCCAGTTAGCTCAATATGTAGAGCGCAGGACTGTTAATCGGGCGACCCCGGTTCATTTCCTCGACAGTGCAGGTCACTTTCGTTGTGATTGATCATGAAATCCTTTCTACAGTCATTCACACTGTACCGCTGGTCTTGTATGTACAATCAGTTCCTTGTGAAAGTGAAGGCAACTAGTACTGGTAAATTGCTTGACAGCATGACCAGGAACGATGCAGTGGCTGAACTGTGCTCTGGTAAATTCAGCGTGGTATACTGCTTTATTACATGCTTTTCGGTGGTTTATAGAAATATATCAGTGATATAAAACTGGTAATTTCACTGTTTGAAACAGTGAAATTACCACTTTGATAATTTCACTGTTTTGAATTTAAGCCCCTTACGTTGTTTCAGTGAAATACCAGCGTGCACAGAACTGGGTACCAACTTAATGACGTGACGTCGTAAATGACGTCACGTTGTATTATTATTTGGCGCGCTTTTCATTCAGTATAAGGTTTAATGTCTTTTTAAAACGTTTCTTTGCATATAATAAAAAGAAAATTTGTTTAGTTTAGTGTGAGATCGAAATATATTTCACCTTGTGAACACCAAAAGTTCATATTTCACTCGTGGCTGCGCCACTCGTGAAATATACCTTTTAATGCTCACTTGGTGAATTATATTCCGATCTTACACTGAACTAAACAAATATCCTCTATGTGATCCGGAGTGAAAACTACCAACACCACCACCAGTAAAGGTTTAAATAATCAACATTTGAAAAGAAAAGTGTAACATAAAAAGTGATCAACTTGCAGTGGAAGTATATGACAGTGACTTAATTAAACTGGCCAATAATAAACTGTTGGAAACACAACAGGTTACTTAAAGTCTTGCATCAGACTAAATATTGGATGATAATGTTGACCTAACTGAAAAAAAGAATAACAGTTAATAACTTGTACCTACTAATTATATTTCATGTCCCATGGACAGTATATAGTCATATGCTGACTTGTCAGATTTATTTAAGGAGGAAGAGCTCAGATAATTATATAGGCAACAAAAGAGGATCATTCATAGGCCAGCTGGACATACAGTCGCCAAGTTGACAAATGATAGTGACTGAATCGAGTCAATGCTTTAAATCTGAATCTATTAACACTTTATTAAAAACTTACATGTATAATGATTATTGCACAGGTAAATTATTGACACTAAGAAATGCTGCTACATATAATATTCATATATATATAATTATAGCGGTTGTGAAATTATTTCTAAGAGTCCACTGTATAAAATCAACATTCCAAAGAACTGACTACGTCATTTGAGCCAGAGATAAAGATTCAAAACCACCTTTGAAAATAAGAGTTCATGCCATAAATACCAATTGATGTTTTCTTTATAAAACTTACAATACCTTGTGAATGCAAACAGTTTTTACCACATTCAATCTCATTGATTCTACCATTGTCTGTCTGTGAACTTGGCTTGAGTGCAACACACTTGATTATAAATAGAAACATTTTTTATAGAGTTTAGATCAATGACTTGCTATTGTTTAAGGTGTGTGATGTATATAGAATGTTATTTTTTGGGACTATGCTGATCACCTTATATTCTGTATCTTACATGCAGCAGCTCATGTTACTTCTAGTTAACCCTGACCATGCTAAATATCTTAAATGGACTTGTCCATCTTTCAATCTTGATATAACCATTTATTATGTTTAGGAAAACATTTCAGTTAACAGAATGTATTTATATACATTGTCTGAACATCAAACAGTGCAGACCATGATGACTGCAGAAATGTGATGGCTGACTGGTTTAAACCATATTTTTTCATATAATGCAAACATATACAATTATGATACAACATAATATATTGTTTTCGTAAAGGTAAAAACACTAGTATATAACGAATATATTGATATAATTGTTAACTTCACACGTCAAAGACTTGTGGTGTATTGGTATAGATGCTAGACTACTGATCTAAAGGTCTCTGGTTCGATACCTAACCAACACCAAGCATTTTTTTTTTTATTTTACTAGCAAGAATTAATTTGAAATTGTTTTACTACATCTGGTTTTAAGATGCCTGTTAAGTAGTGTTTTATACAGTTATTTTTTTTTTTTATTTCATTAAATTATCTTTTACAAGTTTACGGAATTTACCGACTAAAAGGTCAAATGCAAGAATGCCAGGTCAATATTGTTGGACAATAAAGCAGGATTGAAAAGGAAGTGCGACTTATGTAGATTTCTTCCCTGCAGCTGACCTTGGTCTGCACTGGTTGGATAGGTAGAATGTTGCTGCTATTATAAGTTAGCTTATTATTTTCTACTCCTCAATGATTCATTTGTAATACTGATTTAATTTTTGTATTTTCTTTTTTTTAAGTTAAATCACTGTTATGAAATGAATTCTGATGTTATGATTTTATTACAGTAAGGACAATAAACTAAAATTGTGCAAGCAAAAATGTCTGTTTGTTTAATGTATAAGGTGTATATCTTTTCCCATATACATACAAGAACTATCTGTACGAACATTATGTAGCATACCCTATCGTAGCGAAGAACCTAATTATAAAATGATATAAGAAAACGAAGTCATTATGAGAAGAAGTATTTATTTTTCAGTTTATATGACAAAATACACTCAGCTGACAGGGTGTTTACACGACATCTACAAACATAATAACCAATGTAAATAACATTTCAAAAATACAATACATAGTTTCATTACTATTTCACACCTTCACAGGAACTTTAGTTTTTGTTTCTTTTTTGTAAGTTCTTATTTCTTAAAGTTTATCTTACATAGTCATAAACAAGAATTTTGAATTTGTTGCAAGAAAAAAATCAAAAGTGTATTTACATATTTGCTAAACATTGATTACTTTTTAATTATCAAGAAAAGAACATGACTTGATGTTAAATCAACACAAAGACAATGTATTATGGAAACAAATCAATTTTGCATTAATAAATGAAGCTGATTTTTTATGAACATTTTACATGTATCAAAGTTTGCTAGTTACTGAGTTTATAAGTCAGTTTTAAGAACACTAGATAACAATGAACCTTTTCTTATTGATAAGTTAAATATATCAATAAATCTCTAGTGATATTTCAACTCAAAAATTATCTTCTCAATTTTGTTTTCTACTTACAAAAAAGGACTGATTAAAATGATAGCAAATAACCTTCAATTTCTACATATCTATAAAATTTGTCTAAAAAGAAATTTTGTAAAACAATTTCTCAAAGGAAATTTCTTTCGGCATCAACTAAATATTATATATAAAAACCTACGCTACTGTAGAAATATCAATTTATTTTTTTCAAAATGTTTGGTGCATGTCTTCTACGTCAGGTATTGAATGTTCATGATGTTATACTGTCGGCACATGTTCTAATTAAAAACAAGCACATGTTTTAATTAAAAACACAGACAAAATTGATAATTATAATACAGAATTAACAAAATGTCAAGCACTTTTTCAAAGCACCTAGTAACCTTGATGACCCACCGTTTATTGGCCTTCTGTATATTTGTATAGTCAAGTATGAAGCAAACTTTGATGTTATTTTAAGCTTGACAAAAAAAAAAATATACATGCATGTGATAAAACATTGTATCATTTTCATTAACTGACGCTCAATTACTTTTTTTGCACATTTCCTTTTTCAATACTTTTCAAAAGCAACTTAAATTTTATATAAAATGTACAATCTACAATCAGATATGAATGCGACATCTTGTTCTACCTTTTATTAAATAAAGTCAATACTGTTAAAACGTGTTCTTCCATAATTTGTGCATAAAAGAAGCAACTAAGTGAGTGTATTCTAATTAAAATGAAAAATGGACTAATCTAATTATCTACTTAAAACAGAAGTTAAATCTGAAGATACTGTACACCAAGTTTGGTCCCTTAGACAGTGAACATTCCAAATGGTTGAAATCTGTTTTATTTATTCCCCTTTATCAATATCAGTTTAATAGGAATCTAAGATTTTTGTATCTTGTATAATATAAATGTTTATTAACTGAATTGTATTGGAACTATATTTACATTCCAGGGATAACTAGTATTTGTGTGAAAATGATTTTAAGATATTATGGTAACATGTAAACATACACATCCTGGTACTAATATTATACAGGTATATATATAATATATAATTATAGAAGCAAAATTAAACTGTTACATAAAATAGTAGAAAAAGAGTTGATCAAACATTAACATTTTACAAAATCATTGACCATTGAAATAACAAACAACAGGCATTGATATTCTCATAATAATAGGAATTAACAAAAAAAAATATATATATGAAGAAAAAAAATGTACTCTAGCTTTAACCTTGCACAAGAGTATTACATTTCATAACAGTGAAATAGACAAAGAGGTAACATTTTATGCACAAGAAAACAACTTGTTTAGCTCAAAGAAATGCTTATAATCAATCTCCTTGTCTGTCTATAAGTGTGCACTCTGTGTGAACTCAACTTTAACATTTTTATACAGTATTTTTATATATATTTTTCATAAATAGGTGTATGATGAGAACAGTGATAAATGATTAATTCTCAGAACTGCCTTAATATCAAGTTGTACACAGAATAGAAAATCTTTTGTGTGAAATAAATGGAAATATTGCATACATGTGAACAGCGACAGGTATTTGTGTGAAAATATCATTCAGTATGTTATTAGAATGTAACAACTTTTGTGCAAGTCAAAGCCGGAGTATGATACCAACAAAATGTTTTATCAATAACAAGTTTGAACTCTACCTTTCAAACATAATATATATATATTTATATACAAAAACACAATTATATCTCCAGTATAGCCTTCATGGCAATATAACAAAGATAATTGTATCAGAATAAAACAAGAGCTGTCCGTAAGACAGCGCGCTCGACTTTTTTATTGCTTGCCAATAAAAAAAGTTTTTGCAGTAAAAGGCAATACAAGAATCTCTGTATTTTTAAAGTGAACTAGTTGTTTGATACCCTTGAATATTACAGCAATGTTTATATGACATAATTTATGGTAAAGTGAACAAGTGGATAGGAATGAATTTTTTTAGATTTTTTAAGTTTTTTAGTGCTTGCCTATAATACAAAACATTGACAGTTAAGGGCCATAATTCAAATAAAATCTTTGACAGAATTACCTTCTCCTGGACATGTTTGGGAATCATGATTGTAAACAAGTATTCCAACTTTCAAATTAATATCTCAAACAGTTCAGTCAAAAAGTGGACTGGTACTAAAAACTTAACCAAGATTCTAAGTCGATAAAAGGCCTTAATTTTTAAAAACAAATCCTTGACAGAGTTACCTTCTCTTGCGTACAGATGGGGGTAATGATGTGAAATAGCATTAAAAGTTTCAAAGCAATATCTCAAAGGGTTAAGGCAATAAGTGGATTTTACCCATATTCAATGTATTTTCTAAGTCAAAAAGGGGCATAATTCTGTCAAAAACCTTGACAGAGTTATGTCCTCTTGTCTGTTGATGAAGGTCGTGATGGTAAACAAGTATGGTCAGTTTCAAAGCAATACCTCCAATGGTTTTGAAATAAAGTGAGGTGGTACAAAAAAACTTAACCAAGCTCAATACACTTTCTAAGTCAAAAAAGGGCCATAATTCTGTCAAAAACCTTGACAGAGTTATGTACTCTTGTCTGTAGATGGAGGTTATGATGGTGAACAAGTATGGTAAGTTTCAAAGCCATACTTGTAATACTTCTGAAATAAAGTGGGGTGGTACGAAAAACTTAACCAAGGTGTGACGCCAACGCCGACGCCAACGCCGACGCCGACGCCGGGGCGAGTAGGATAGCTCCCCTTTTCATAGAAAAGTCGAGCTAAAAACCACAGCCAATTTATAAACACCTGTCTTACTATAATACACAGACAGCATTCAACAAATGTTAAACTGAAAAAATTGACAAAGATTGTTTTATTTTCCTACAAAGTTCCATTTGAATACATTTCTAATTACCTTTTCTAAATTTTTCGTAAGATTTTTAGTGGTAATTTGATGGTTACTGAGACAATATTCATACAATGTTAAAATACAGTTAATAATGATGTTAATCTCTTTAATAACAAAAGATGAAAACAACAAAAATAATGCATGTTACTATGTTCATCATGTAAATATTTGTCTTACAAAGACAAGCACTAAATGTATGTTTATCTTTCACAACAAAAACAAGTCAACAGATATCTGCAGCTAGTGCCTAACCAGAAAATGTTCTCCTAGAAAATGATGTCTATTTCCCCATTAAGTGATAGTAAGTTTTGGCCCTACCTGGGTAGAAACCATGTTCCTTTATACTAGTAGATGTTTAACACCAGTAATGGATAGTCAAGAAAATGGACTTCTGAAAGACCCTTAATATTGGATGTAAGATAAATAAGTTGTAACTTATGCAACAAAAAAAATCAGTGTTATGTCAAGATGACTTGTTCCCATATAATTTTGATATTTCTGTTATGAAAGAATTACGACAGGATAGCAAAGTTTTCTCTTGCTTGCCTTACATCTCAACTTTCTTTGTACATTAATGCCAAAATTAGACTAGAGCACATTGTGAGACATATATTTCCTGACAGAAGATATTGCAAAATATCCAAAAGTTGACTGTTAACAAAATAATTGTTACATGGAAAATTTAGAAAATCAATGACCCTCCATTCAACTCGATACTCACTGAATACAAAAACATGGGCTCTCAAAATGCATGTGCTACTTTACTGAAATCATCAAAATGGAAGTTTTCTTCTAAAGAAAGAAATCTATTGATGAATATAGGTCAATAGAAATAATTCTATCTCCATCTCTTATAGCTGAAAGCTATATGAAATTCTCCAGAATGAAATACATGAAACTTATTCATGCTCAAAATATTAACTTTCAAGTATATAAAACTGAAGTAAAAATAAGAACAATTTTTCAAGTATAATAATTTATCTTGTCCAGTATTAAGTGAATTTACTAAAGCATATATGATGAGATCGTAACAGAAACACTGTTTTTAGTTAGAGTGATTTATTATGCTAGTGTTGTTTTTTAAAGCTAGGTACATTTACAATGCTGCCTGATAATCTACATCATGTTTTCAGAATAAAACTTGTGTATTTATAACAGCTTGCATTAAAACATGGAATGTGCATTCTTTTACAAATATAATGATGGTTGAGCAACAATGTACAGCTGTTTAGGGTACAATAACAAGCTAAAATATTGGCAACAACTCACGGATCTAGTCCAACAACCTATCTCAAGTACCTATTTAGATTTTCCCTACCAGTAGGTTTTTCTCTTAAGCAGTGTGCTTGAAATTTCGGAAACAGTTCATTTTGTATTATCCTACACAAGAATAATATTCCAAGTTTCAGATGCAGTATCCCATTGTTCACATCACACTTTTTCTCAAGCCTGTCAATATTAAACTTGTCACCCTACTCCTGTAGTAATTATGCTGGTTGTCTTTAAATCATCAAAACCTCCAGATATTTTATATATAAACTTCTTTGGTTGTTTTTGCTTTAATTTTACTGACTGAATATTTATAATTTATACATCAGACAGTATATGTTGACATATTTTCACCTCTATATACTGGACATGTTAAAATGTATACATGTATATCAAATTATCATCAAACATATCAATTCTTTATAATACATCTGTTATCACCGATAATGCAAAAATATTTTTGATGCAAAACTTGAGCTTCAGTACTTTTTTGAAACTCCAGTTAAGCAACATCTTTGTGTTTAAATTAACATTTTCTTCCTTATTTTTCCTGTGCTTCCATTTAATTTACATTATCAGTCATGTGAAAAATATAAAACAATATATTAAGAGCAGTTTTGCTTTAAACAAAAAAATCTGTTTGAATAGTAAACATGTAGCTGTATGACATATATAATTATAAAGATGAGTGCCTGTACATGTACATATAAAAACTAAATAAAAAGAGGACTGAATGTCAGACAATAATGGTGATTCTTAATGGTAAAAAAAGAACATTAATATGAAAAAATATAGGCCACAAAATGAGATGTAATCAGGTACCAGTATTCTATCAAATGGATTTCACAGGAGTTGTGTCCTGATTCACCATATTTATCATAGTAAATGTACATAAATATAGTACAGTATATTGTGTTTAATATACAAGTTTCATGTGTATGACATTTATTAGAATAAATATGGTGCATTTAAGTTTGATCAATTATGGTACCAAAGGCAATGATGCAATACATGTATAACAAACAAATCATAGGAAAACATATCTTATAATAACATATGATAACACCATGTCCTGGAGAGTATTGTGCTTTGTTTTCTGTCTTCTAAAACACATGATAATAAGGAATTAGCTTCCATTCTAGTTTTGCAGATGGCAATGTCATGTTTTCCTGCCAAAATTTTCAGCTTGCAGAGCTTGGATCACATTGCAATAATCTAACTATCGATGGATCACTTTTAGCTCCTTCGATAAATTCTGCTAGTGACAACTGATTGTCAGCATTTTTGTCCATTTGACGGAATATTTTGTCTGTGCGCTTCTCGGGCGTGGATTCATCATCAGGCATCTTCATAACTGTTCCGACCATTTTGTAAATTGCCTGAAATTGAGAAACAATACAAGATGATAGATATAAAGCTAAAATTATTTTGAGAAAGATAAGTCAAGTTTCAACAAACAACATGTATTTGGCTGACAATTATTGTCAGTATAGTAGATATTAACTGATACTATGAACATAGGCCAAATGTTCCATCATTTGTCAGTATGAGGTCAGTAAGAATTCAACTGTCAAGTGTCAGTAAATGTCGAAACCATCTGTATTGTGTATAATAGAAATTTAAGAGGCAAAGTAAAATATTTTTCTCTTTTAGTACATGGGATCAGAAGACTTGACTTATACATTACAATTTTATTAATTTGTAGAATTCCACAATTATATAATTATACAAGAACTGCTAATACAATGTATTATTTCTTGTTTTAGTAAGAGGTTTAAACCGAGTTTGATAATGCATGAGATGAGACTTAATTTTACAGCATTTTCATTAACACACAAATTTCATTATATACTTATAATTGTTTGAAACTTAATTTAACATTTGGCACTATCAGTCTATCACAAACAAAAAGCAAATTTCTGCATCATATAGTACTTTGATACCAGTACAATCAATTATTAAATAGGCACCATCTTTGAAGAATTATTTCACCTAAGAATATATCCAATATGATTAATTGAAAGACATATGTAGATTGTGTAAGATGTAACAGAATTATGCAAATTGTTCAGCAATAATTGCTTTTTAATGGTGTAAATGGAAAGACTTAAAGCAACAAATCTGTGATTATTTAGAAACATAAGCCACTCTATATAATATATTATGATAAATGAGAGAATAAAACATTGATGTATGTACAACCTTCAACACAAACAGTTTTTGCTCTGCTTTAACAAGGACTCGTTTAAAACAAAAGTCTGCAGTGCAAGAAATTTAGTAAATCTAAGGACTTCAAATAACAATGCATGCAGAAAAGGGGCATTAAGGATAGTATATGATAAAGAAACTGCTATTAAAATACATTGTATAACAAAAGACGATTAATGCAACTTTTTGGGGCATTAACATCTGCTGAAACATGAAGACTCATTTAAGTAAGTCTGAGGACTTCTGCATTAAATGTCAATGCACAAAAAAAGAGGCATTAGGGCTTAGTCTTTATTCTCGCATAAAAGTATATGTCTGTTTTTCACATTACAAAACCACTATTAAAATACATTGTATAACAAAAGACGGTTAATGAGAAGGAAAGGAATTCTGTCATTGATTATATATAACTAAAATCTACATCATTATGAACACATCTTTATTGATTTTTGTTCAGAAAAGTTTTCTGGAACACATGAACCACTCCTACACGAGATGAGAAACATTTGGGGGAGGTAATCATGCCAAGATTTATACATGTCACACTTGGCCTAGACAATCATGACTATAGGAAGACATAAACCAGTCACAGTACAACCACTACTTTCCCATCACTTGATTTTCTTACTCTTTTAATGTTGTCTGAACTTAGTGACCTTTCATCTTAAAACTTGAATAATTCTATTGTAGATTTCTTTAAAGAATTTCCTTTTCAAGGATTTTTATATTAACTGCATATGTACTTTGATCAAAACTCCTCAAAACAAACATCTAAGTCAATTCTGCCCAAGTTGCTAGATGACCCAATTTTCCCTTGATTAAGCATGATGTGATAACTTTTACAAGTTTTGCTTATTTAATCAGATTAAGTTTTCAAAGGAATTACAGTTCCCTGCATACATCACTGGCATTAGAGATATTTTTGTGAACCAAAAAGTGACAGAAAAACTGATATTACATCCTGAACTATAACTTCAAAATATCTAACATGTGTATACAACATAATAGCATGCTCAAAAACTGATCATGTAGATATTTATACCCTATAGACAAGAAAACAGAGATTATAAAACCTGTATTCAGATGCAATTGCACCCAATAAATAGCAAATCAAGTTTTATGACCTACAGTCTATTGATAATCAATCATCTTTCCCCCCTAGTAAAAGACAAGCTATAGATAAAATCATGCAGAATTTGTTTCCTGTCTTTCTATAAAGATAAATTACAATATATTAATGCATTTTACAAATGTGCAGATTTTCTCAGAAATGATACAGAAATCATTAATGTAAATTAAATTGGTGCATCCAGTTGTATTACAGAGAATGCAATTATATGTCCTTATTAATAAGAGCAAAGGGACTATATTATATAGAATTCTCTTTTTAACTTAATAATTGTCAATAAGTAATGCACCCGCTCCTTAAAGAAGCATAAAAAGTTGTTAACATTAAAACTATTTTTTAAAATGAAAGGGTGTGGGTATCTTAGTATTTACAATGCTGACATATTATTATTTGTATCTAAAAATATCTTTATATGTCTGGCTTAAAAATGTTTATAGTTCCAACAAGGAGCCTGCATATATTCAAACGGAATCCCTGGGGTGTTTCAGTTAAGCATGAATGCAAAAAACACATCAAATCCACATTACTGAGTCACTGTGATTGAACAACCTTTTTCATCATTAAGTCATAAGAGAGAACAATTAACTTGTTTAATCATGGAATTCATATTGTCTTAAAATGTACAGGGAAACTAGAAATGTGTCAACTGTGCCCCCACACTCCACTGTTTTTCCACTGTTTTGTCAATCTTATGACTCTAGGTCACAAGCTGAAAAAAAAAAATTATACTAAGTCAAGGGCAAGAACTTTACAAATACTTAATAAATCCACAAGCAAACCACAAGGTGGATAAGAACACATGCTGATCAACATTCTTGTAAACTTTCAGGCCTACAGGTCAAATACTTTTTGAGCTATGCATGAACAAGTTGAAAATTGTAAAGTCATATGAAGTCAAGGGCAATAACTCTAATAAAACTGAAAAAAATCCACATGCAAAACCCAAGGTGCATAGCTTCACAGTGATGTTAATCATTATTCCTGTTAAGTTGGTTGATTCTAACTCAAGCACTCAAGGAACTCATAACACAACATTATGAATGGAATGATTTTTACTAAGTCAAGGGCAATTATTCATCAAATACTGAATAAATCTACAGTCAAACCCCAGGTGCACAACTGCACTATTATTGGTAACTAACATTTCTGAAGTTTCATGACTTTAGATCTAATACTTTTTGAGCTACACTCGAAGTTGAAAATTGCAAATTTTAACTAATAAAAGGGCAATAACTCTACTGGATAAATCCACAAGTGAAACTCCAGTTGCACACTTACGCATGCTGACCACATAAAATTACACTCCTGTTAAGTTTCATGACCCTAGGCCAAATACTTTTGGGGCTATGCGCAACACAAGTTTAAAATTGAAAATTTTTACTAAGTCAAGGGCATTTACTTTGACAAAACAGAAAATAAAACACAAGCAAAGCCCCAGTGCACAACTTTACGTGCTGAGCAACATTCCTGCAAAGATTCATGACCCTAAGGTCAAATACTTTTTGAGCTTTATGCGACGCAAGTTGAAAATTGCAAATTTTTACCAGGTCAAGGGCAATAACTCTGACAAAGCAGACTAAATCCACAAGCGAAAACCCAATTTCGATATTGAAATAACATTTGATGAACAAAAGACTGTCCCAAATTAACGGCAGGAAAATTTCAAAGTACATTCATACTCCAGTTCTTGCAGTAAGAAAGCATCAACAGAAAAATAAATGGAGTGACAGACTTATTATTTTACATTTTCCATAAACTTTCTTATACTAGAATCACCACAACATTTTAAGCACTTCACATCAATCAGAATTCCTCTCACAGTTTGACACTATGGTGATTGATTTACCTATGTTAACAATAAAACAAAATCCTCAAAAACAGCTTGTACCAGGCACAACTGGGAATCATACAACAAAAAACAGTCAACACATAGAGGTTTCCATCATACAAGATGATTAAGGTGTCAGTGTGTAGAGTAATTGACAATAATAATATATCATCTTATTAATACCATATGCCTAATTATGACAATAACCATGCAATGAGCATGTACTTACATTAGTTAATTAACACACAGAATTTACACTTGGCACTTTCATCATTAACTAGTAATTAGTACACCCACACTAAGTATCCACTTGTAAAATTTAGTAATGATAACAAGACAACAATTACTTATCTCCATAAACTTTACTAGCATCTTCACTTATCATTATTAAATGTAATTCCAAATAATAATTTATTAATATGCATAACTTGACTTATATTTTCTGAAAGGCATTTTTCAGCAATGGATGTGAAGATACTATCTCATTTCACTATCACCCAGCAAACACCCGACGTTGACCCAACGTTGGATCAACGTTGAATTTTGGTCGCGACGTCGGTGACCTTCATACAACGTCAAATCGACGTTGAATCCCCGACGTCTAATAGACGTTTCATTTTAACGTCGACTCGACGTCGGGTTTTGGTCGGTAATCTGACAATATGTGAATTTAATTTATGAAACCAATATATATATAAATTAAAGCATAAACTGTGAGAATTTTAAGTTTAAGTTTAGCAAGGGCACATTATATATTTATTTTCTACATCAAAACAACAGTATCACGTGGGTGGCTAACGTATGATATTCGATAGGTGGCGCTCTGTAAACGTATAGACGCAGATCAGTATGAAATATATTTGCTCTATTTTCGTTTAAATAATATCTTATCTTCTCGAATTAGTCTAAGAAGTGTTTATATAATTTACAATGAAGTTGTTATCATTTTTGAGGGCTTCATTTTATAGTGGTAAATAATTTAGTAAATTCGAATATGCGACTTATCGGATTTGAAATTCAATTGTATTGGCGGACAAAAAAACGACGGGTTGACAGACAAAGTTGTATATATTCCAAACAAAAGAAAAAGGTAGGCAAACATTATATATTGTTTTTCGATGCTAATTTACCGCATGTTTGCATGGATTCGATGGTTATTTGATCATTGAAATGTTTGACTGGTAAAACTTAATGTCACGTGATTTCGCGAGATAAATATTTTTGTTTCCACGTAAGAACACTTTATCATTTGCTATAGAACATTCTCAGTCTGTATAATCGGATCATTTTTCCCATGCCAAATAAATGCACAATCAATGGTAGGAAATATCATAGCAATTGAAATCAATAAAAAGTTAAATGCAGTACGTAAGACTCTTATTATTCAAATGCTGGTAAATAAAATATCCTCTTATTTCTTATCAACATGAATTTCCCTTATATGAGGGGCCAGTCATTTACACATGTTATGCATCACATGCAGTTTGATTTTGATATCTGTGTAGTTGTTAAACTACTCGTTGTTAATTGAAGTACTTTACCCATACTGTTAGCATACCATGTGTTTCTTATATTATGATAATGATTCATGGCATTTGATACATGTAAATGATACGACTTTGGTAAAATATATCTGAAAGCACATTGTATTTGACTAGCTGTCTTTTTATTAATGTAATCAAACAACATATTATCAATCAGAAAACACATTATCATAGTTATAAATCAATAAAAGTAATAGTTTGTTAATTAGCCTGCTTATCAACAAGTTGTATGCTCGTATCATAAAACGTTTTTACACTAAGCCAGTCTGTCCTATATACACTTAGCAGACCAGATCATGCTGGGCAGAGATGATATCTATAAAAATGACAGTAACATGTGAATTTCTTTGATGTTGTATGAGCATTTGTACAAAGTACATTGAATATAAAAAATAACAATATCAGTTTTTGCGGGAGTAGAATTAATTTGGTATTTGTTATATCAGTTTTCCATGCGCTTATGAGTTAACTAAGATTAATAGTAATTGGATTATGCCTATTGTATTAGACAAACATCCTTCCACCACATGGTTAAATTCTAAAACGATTATATTTCGTCTTTCAGATTGTGAAAATTATGATAATTCAACATGTGTCAAAAGTCCAGGAGGAAGATGAAAATATTTAGAGGAAAAGAAAAATGAAAACCTACCAAGATTTTGTCACAGGTATATTTCAAAATATTATAGAAAATACAGTGATCATATTACCCTTGATTTTACAATGAAATTCACGAAGATTAATAGATATATACAGTAGGTACACGAAACAACATGGTTTAAACTAAATTAAAAATAATAAGTATCTTTTTAAGTAGTTGGAGAGTTTTGTTAGAATTTCTTTTAATTATAATATGTAAAAGTGATTTATTTCTTGCACTTGTAACTGATTCTTTTATTTTTTTAATTTCAGAAAGAGTGATGAGATCTCAGGTTGGAGACGGTAATGATACGCTTAAAGTATGCCCCAGATCGACATAGTGGAGGAGGACGAAAGAAGAATACTAATTAAGATACATGAACATTGCTGTTTATAGTAATAACAAAATATTCAGAATATTGTTCCATTTAACATTCAGATCTAGATTCAGTTATAAAATACAAAGACAAATATACAATCAGTGAGTTGGATAGATGATTGAAAAATCCCAAACTCAGAGTGATCAGTTCAGTGGTGATATAAGAAAAAACACATGCATGGATGTTTGCTATATAAAATGTCAGTGTTAATATGCAAGAAGGATTTTGTTTATCTTATTTCTAAAACATGCTTAATTAATACATGAAGCATTATAAAAGTACATACCTTCAAGTTTAATAGTTTCAAAAAATATTATGTAAATATTTGTTATAGTACCACATTTCTTTTTTTGTACTTGTGATTCCGAGTATAAAATAAATTGCTAAAATCATAAGAATGCTTATTTATTAACCCTATTATAGAGCTTTAAAATGAAAAAAAATCATATTCAAAAAGTTTTGAATGAGGTTAAATCATGGTCAGAAAATTTGGTCAGATAAGGTTGGCATATGGTCAGATAATGGTCAGAAAAGGTTGGATTATGGTCAGAAAAAGGTTGGATTATGTCCAAATAATGGTCAGAAAAGGTTGGATTATGGTCAGAAAAGGTAGGATTATGGTCAGAAAAGGTTGGATAAAGGTCATTTTATGACGTTGTATAGACGTCGGTTTCTGACGTCTAAAAAACTTTCAAATCCAACCTTCTGCCAACGTTTACCCAACGTCAGGGTCTAACGTCAGTACAACGTTGGTACAACGTCTTTTGTTTGCTGGGCACTGTCTTTGTTAATACTGCTTGAGAGATATGAATTAGTTATAGTATACAGCAGATTTGGTGTTTTTTTTAATCCAGCATTTATAAACATGTTCAGTGTCAGAAGACCATTAATGATGGTGAATGCTGAACATATTAATATAACATGTGCAAGCTCATCATGCTCTCCATTGTAAATGTTCAATACCTCACCTGAAGGTTATAAAACTTTGTCTCAAATCTCAGAATTTTCATTGGTCTGTGTACAGTATTTGCATGTTGAATATTACTGTATAACCTTGGACCCTGGATTTCAATCTTTTCACATGACATGTCTGGATATATAATATTGAAACTCCACCAATAAGGGAGAGCTCCATCACATGTATGACTGAGATGGTGACTCTTATAAAGAGAACTATTTGTATTCTGGATAAATGCTGACACCATGTTGACAAAAACAGTGAAGTTTGCTTATTGTCATTATAAGTTAATTCCTACATAACCAGTAGTGATTCTTACAATAATTAAGTTAATATCTCCTTCAACTAGCTTTATAATAGAATGAGGCTATTTTACTTTACCCATATAGTTAAACAAGATACAATATTAGTAAATTTGCCGCAGTTTTTCATTTGACAATATTCACTATTGCTTGAGGGAATGATGTTATACGAATGGTGATTGAATTGCAGACAGTTTCTAGCCTCTAAGGATTATTTCTAATTTTCAGCAGAGCGATTCTTATTTAAATCACGATTCAGTAATTTGGTTTGAAGTAATTATAGAGCCCTTCAGCAATAGAGTAACTGTTCTGTGGACATTATTATCAGTGTCAGTTTACTGAACAATTTCAGGTACCCAACTTTTAAGAGAACACATTAACTTTACATTGCCATTTTGTCAAAGTAAATACATAATAATTATGTGCTTTACATAATGTTTTAAGTATTACATTGTGCTGTCCATGTTTAAGTGTAACTATGTGTTGTCCATGTTTTCAGTATCACATTTTGCTGTAAATGTTTTAGTGGCACATTGTACTGTACACATTTTAGTGTTACATTGTGCTGTACATGTTTTAGTGGCACATTGTGTTGTCCATGTTCTAGTGGCACATTGTGCTGTACATGTTTTAGTGGCACATTGTGTTGTTCATGTTTTAGTGGCACATTGTGTTGTTCATATTTTAGTGGCACATTGTGCTGTACATGTTTTAGTGGCACATTGTGTTGTTCATGTTTTAGTGGCACATTGTGTTGTTCATGTTTTAGTGGCACATTGTGCTGTACATGTTTTAGTGGCACATTGTGTTGTTCATGTTTTAGTGGCACATTGTGCTGTACATGTTTTAGTGGCACATTGTGTTGTTCATGTTTTAGTGGCACATTGTGCTGTACATGTTTTAGTGGCACATTGTGTTGTTCATGTTTTAGTTTCACATTGTGCTGTTCATGTTTTAGTGACTGTACATGTTTAAGTGGCACATTCTGCTGTACATGTTTTAGTGGCACATTGTGTTGTACATATTTTAGTGGCACATTGTGCTATACATGTTTTAGTGGCACATTGTGTTGTTCATATTTTAGTTTCACATTGTGCTGTTCATGTTTTAGTGACTGTACATGTTTAAGTGGCACATTCTGCTGTACATGTTTTAGTGGCACATTGTGCTGTACATGTTTTAGTGACTGTACATGTTTAAGTGGCACATTCTGTTGTACATGTTTTAGTGGCAGATTGTGTTGTAAATGTTTTAGTGGCTAATTGTGTTGTACATGTTTAAGTGGCACATTGTGCTGTACATGTTTAAGTGGCACATTGTGTTGTACATGTTTTAGTGGTACATTGTGTTGTACATGTTTTAGTGGCACATTGTGCCATACATGTTTTAGTGGCACATTGTGCTGTACATGTTTTAGTGGCACATTGTCTTGTTCATGTTTTAGTGGCACATTGTGCTGTACATGTTCTAGTGGCACATTGTGTTGTTCATGTTTTAGTGGCAACATTTGTACTTTACATGTTTTAGTGGCACATTGTGTTGTACATGTTTTAGTGGCACATTGTGTTGTTCATGTTTTAGTGGCAACATTGTGCTGTGCATGTTTTAGTAATACATTTTGCTGTACATGTTTTAGTGGCACATAGTGTTGTTCATGTTTTAGTGGCACATTGTGTTGTACATGTTTTAGTGGCACATTGTGTTGTACATGTTTTAGTGGCACATTGTGTTGTACATGTATTAGTGGCACATTGAGTTGTACATGTATTAGTGGCACATTGAGTTGTACATGTTTTAGTGGCACATTGTGTTGTACATATTTTAGTGGCACATTGTGCTATACATGGTTTAGTGGCACATTGTGCTGTACATGTTTTAGTGGCACATTGTGTTGTTCATGTTTTAGTGGCACATTGTGCTGTACATGTTTTAGTAACACATTGTGTTACATTGTGCTGTACATGTTTTAGTGGCACATTGTGTTGTTCATGTTTTAGTGGCACATTGTGCTGTACATGTTTTAGTGGCACATTGTGTTGTTCATGTTTTAGTGGCACATTGTGTTGTTCATGTTCTAGTGGCACATTGTGCTGTACATGTTCTAGTGGCACATTGTGCTGTACATGTTATAGTGGCACATTGTGTTGTTCATGTTATAGTGGCACATTGTGCTGTACATGTTCTAGTGGCACATTGTGCTGTACATGTTCTAGTGGCACATTGTGTTGTACATGTTCTAGTGGCACATTGTGCTGTACATGTTTTAGTGGCACATTGTGCTGTACATGTTCTAGTGGCACATTGTGCTGTACATGTTCTAGTGGCACATTGTGTTGTACATGTTCTAGTGGCACATTGTGCTGTACATGTTCTAGTGGCACATTGTGCTGTACATGTTTTAGTGGCTAATTGTGCTGTACATGTTCTAGTGGCACATTGTGCTCTTCATATTTTAGTGGCACATTGTGCCTGTACATGTTTAAGTGTCATTTGTACTGTACATCTCTTCATAGTTCCATAACATGCTGTTAACTGTTTTCTGTTAACATTGTGCTGTCCATGTCATCAGTTCCACATTATGCAATTTATGTAATCACTGATCAAAACAAAAATTTGTTTTAAAGTGAGGTTCAAGCTTTGCCCATCAATGAGGAGCATATTCATACTTCATTGATCCAAACACTTTCTTAGACATGTCTATTATCTGAAAATCAATTCTTGTGAAGAAACTGTAGTTTTGGTATGGCAATTTGATTACCTATCCTCATCTCTAATTAGACTGGAACTTAAAGAACATTTTTGTCTTTATAATATCTTTATGTCATTTAAATAGTATAAGAACAAGATATTTAACTTTTTGAATATCTTCAGTATAATTTAATTTTCTGCGTAAAATTTAATCAAAGCAACTGTCTTATGACTCGGCTTATATTACAAATTGTTGCTGAAGCCCAGAAGGCAAAAATCCTTGAATTTCTAGAAGTAACTATAGAAACAGTCAGAGACATTTATCCTCTACTTTCATAGACGGACAAAGACTGGTTTATGTAAACACTGTCAATGTCTCATCATCATAGACACTGTTTGTCTTTAATTTCATGTGAACACAAACCAAGCTCAACAATAAAATATCTGTATTCTTAATGATATAATATTCCAGTCTTACTTTCTGCCTGACAGACAAAGCTGATATGAATTAATGCAAGTGATCCTTGGTGAATGTTCTGAAATATATCCATCATTAATGGAGACATGGTTACTTCAATGAGTCTGATTGCATTATATGATCTCTTTAATTTACTAAATGAAACAGACTTTTAACTTGTCCTTGCTCTATTTATAGTAAATTTGTTTGATGATTATCGAGAAAAGAGCTGTTTTATATTATTCATGTTTAGAATTCTGTATTCTTCTTACAATGATAATGCTTATTGTAATGAAATATCTGTGTTTGCATTCTTCATACAATGGTTCTTGAAAATTTCATGTTTACATGTATTTTCTTTCATTTTAATTTGCTATAAAGTATGTATATACTTCATTGCAATGAAAGCTTGAATTGACTTTGAATATTAAATTATTATTTTACATTATTTCAAACAGTTGTAATAAAACTTAAAAGATTTATTAGTAGCAAATTGTAAAGACTTATATTAGGAACGATCATATTATAACTATTTCTAAGTTGCAACTTAACTGTAGATCAGCTTTTAAAATAGCAAGCATATTGAAGAGAAATATTAAAAGCAAGTGAATGTAGAGATTGATAAATCACAAGCAAATTTTAGGGATGACAATGCAGCAATCGCAAGACTTTTTTCAAAACAGACAAGCTAAATATGTTCTGTTTTGTCTCTGGACAAACCCTTTTTATTTACAGCCCACCTTAAGACTTCCACTTTTTAAAATATCTTCTTTAATTTTTGGCAAATTCGATTGGAAGTTGACTCACAGATTCTGGCCAAATTTTCAGTTGTATGTATGTACCTTTCTAATGTCTAACTTGCCAGTGTCTGAGCAATTCCATGTATAGTGGGCAAGAGAAAATGTCATCAAATAATAACAGAACTTCCTTTACTTGAAACCACTCCTTATTTATTTTTAATGTTTTGCTGTCTTATTTTATGCATTGTTTATGACTATAGTAGGAAGCATCAAGTATAATCAGCAAGCTGAGCTCTAACATCATAAACAATCCACAGTTTGTACACAGTAATAATCTTCTTGTCTTTATAATACCATTTGAGGACAGCTAGGGGAAATCAGAATGTCACAAACAATAAGTTTATAACTGATCAATGTCTCTCCTTAGAACTACAACAAACACATTGCCAGCTTCTCTTATACATTTCTTTCACAATGTTACTTCCTTAGAGGAATTAAGCCTTTAGTGAGAAACATGATGCTAGGTCATAATGAAGAATTTTACAACACTTGGTGTGAATGGCTTACATCAGTAATATAGATACATATCTCCATCTTGTATATTTATTATAGATGAAAATTGCATATTACATATCAATTCAATTATTGTAATCAGTGACATAATAAGATTGACTTTCATTAAATATCATATGTATGTATGTAGATTTTACTGCCTGGTTAATTAATCAAAGGGCACTCTTTAAATGCATTCTTTGAACAAAAATCTAAGAAATTCCGCATAATAAGCAATCTAGTCACAGGACACAAAATATAATACACAACCTCTTAGCTTTCTTAATACTATATGGTAAAGTTAATTTAAGCAAACCTAAACACATTAATGTCTCAGGTTGCACAAGAATCTTTATACAAAAATAGTGCCAGAACAGACAAGAAAATCCTACACCACACTTAATGAATATGTTTCATGGTTACTGCATAACATTTGCATAATTATTTGCTGCTCCATTTTTGTATAAAATGTTCACTTTTATTATATGACAGCCTGCAGGAATGGAACAATCACATTGTTAGTGTATAATTAATTATCATGAAGGAGCAGTGTCAATTAACTTGTAAGTTTTATCATAGTGCTTTGAATGCTATCTACATTTTACAATACCCTCAGTATGACTTTCTTAGAATGAGAGAATCACGTTTATTTAATGGCAGAGATGAGACTGAGAGAACAGTAAACACTTCTAGATCAAAGTTAATTAACCCAGACTAGTTGGAACTTGAAGGCAATCCTCACATGCTGAAAATTGTCAATTTGTCACTGTTATTTATGAGTACCAGCAGAGCTTCGCCAGTAATAAATAGAAAACTACTTACAGTAATAAACATTTTACAACAGGATTGGCCAGGGAAAAATTGCTGGTGACAGTGATCAAGTAAATGTCTCTACTAACTCTAGATAAAGTACATGTTAACTAGAGATAAATAAAAACACATAAAGTATTCTTCATTAAATTTTATATATCACCAAAAAAAAAAGAATTGCAGATCATAAGAACGCACACAAAAAATCGCCTGCAATTTGACATTTTCAATAGAGCCAGTATTTCTTGCTGCTCATCATAATGTTTTCAGTAATTTGTAATGTAAGATATTAAAGGCTACCACAGTAAGACAGCTGCTCAAATTGAAGGAGATATTTGTACCTTTACTTCCTGCATCCAGAATGCAAATAATAATTTCAAATTAGTAAAGGAGTCATGTATGACAGAAATTATTTAATTACTTAATAACAAGTCCAATGGAATCTGCGATTGTGTATGCTGTTTGTAATACATGTGTAAGTATTTCTTGACAAAAGTGAATATTACATATCTTAAGTTATCATTTTGTTTTAATAATTGCCTCTTCAAATTCACTACAGATAAGAATTCTACTTAGAATCAAACACAAATTGTCAGGAAATTTTTTATTAATATCAAAATATGTGATTATTCAAGTAGAACAAAACAAACTTTAGAGCATTATTCTGTTTAATTCATTTTCCTTGTTTATCCCACTTTCATACCATAAAATCAGTAAGTCATCAAAATTTGGACTTGTCCGTTTGGTACTCAGAGTTAAATACCATCAAGTCCTAGAAAGACAAATTTGTAAAAAAAAAACAGAATAAGCTTTAAATCAACCATTGAAACTACCAAATCTTATTTAATGGGCATTTTGGGGCTTTAAATTTAGAACGTAAAGGGATTATAATGTTAAAATCACAGACTGTCCAAATACCCATGAAAATAAAAGAAAAGTTTTAAAAATTGGACAGGCTGATCACACATTATAAATGGCATCATGGTAATAACACAAAAGGTACAAAGCCACTATATGAGACTTATTCACCTTTGAATTGTCAAGCTGATATCCAATTAAAGCCAGGACAAAAATATTGAGTATGAAACATAACAATGGGCAATAACTCTAAAAGTTGCAAAAGAATAAAGAGTTATTATGATTCTGCCGCAGCACTCTATTCAGTAAGATATATCCACTCAGGTAGTTTTAAACTGATATCTCAAATAATTAAACAAAAACTATAAACAAAGACCAATAACTAAAAAGTTAGTAAGTTGAGAGTTATCTGATGCTAAGACTCCCTATTGAGTTACAAGAGGTAACCAATTATGAATAATTTAGTTCTTTCATTGCTGGCAATTACTAATAAGAGAGTATATCAAAATATACAACATAATTATTATGTCCTACAGACAGACTAAAAGTCACAGCTGTCTGCAGAAAATATCACAAATGGTGTACCACAAATGGTGTACAGGCAAATAATTATGCAGCAAACTGTATTTTGCCTTAAGTTATAAAGATGAACAGATTCATTGAGTGCACAAACCCTATCACAGAGTAACAGTACAAGCTGATGGCATAAATCTAATACAAATTAGATATTAATATGATGTTTTCCTCCTCTTAGCACTTATAAGGAGAAATAGTTTCCCGTAAAATACAGTTAAATTATTTCTGTCTGGCAACAGTTGTTACAGAAATTCAAAACATATACTGATACTGATTACCATCTTCAAAGTTCTCACAGAAAAGACACTGTGACATGCCAATGACCTGACCTAGCAAGTCCAAGCTCTTCATGAGAAGTAATCAGGCATACCTGGTCCAAATAATAGAATACTTACTTAAATCAGCTGTCCATTGAGTTAGTCATTGACCTAGTTAACAATATATACCATTTTCTATACTATATCTGGTATTGTAAAATCATTGAAATCTGCCAATAAGTGAAAGTAGGAAAGTTAGACAGTTGTATCACTTAATTACACAACTTGCCTAACAGTTACACCAGTAATTAATTAATAGTAAAAATTTCAAACAACACAGGCACACATATCTCATGTGCTAACTGTAAGTCCTGGAAACATCAAACAATGAATACCTCTTTGAACTTTTAGTCAACATATTGATGTTTTCTAACATGGAAACTATCACTTTACTGTCATTTAAATGAAGGGAAATGGAAATTTTGACAGAAACTAAATGTAATGTCTTTATTACTATGATGTTATTTGTCCCTGATCAATAATTACATGTCCAGGTCAAAGTCAGTTAAAAAATTCTTCATCAAAACAGTGTTTAATCTCAACTGGATGCTTAAGGACATTTATTTCTCTATACATATGTATTTAAATAAGATTAAAGTATGTATAATTATACTACAGTGATATTAAGGTCCATTTCTCTTATATGCTTGAAATCATTATTTTTTTAAAGTCTAAATATATATATTATCATATGATAAGACATAAGCTAACTAACCCTTAAACAGCTAAATATCTAAAACAAAATTGTCCATCTTTCAGTCTGGACAAAATCATTGATCATTTTTGTAGAATATTTCAAAGTATATACTGATATAGTTTGTGGAATATTTACAAAATGTACGGACTGAATGGGGGAACAGTGCAGACTGTTATCAGACAGCATGGAAGTGCTGACCTTATCTTTGTTTGCACTGGTAGCCTAGGTAGAATCAGTTGCTGCCAGCAGGCTAAGAGTTAAAATTACAAATATCAAAACACATTAAATATATGACTAAGAACATTGAGTCAGTCTTTAATTGCAACTAAGACTAGGTACTAGTCAGGTTGAGCTAATTTCGAAGGTTGGATGCATTGCTATTGGGTCTATAATTGGTTTATAATGGTACAGAATAGAAGGACTACCCGTTAATCAAATATTATTAAACTGGGGCTTAAACCTCAGTTCTAATAACCTTACTTTTTCATAGAGACATCCTGAAAATTTTGACAGACCATGCAATGATGGAACTTTACGTCTTTTATAACAACAATAATAAAGGTAAGTCTAAAAAACTTGAAATCAGTAAGGCTATTTTAAAATCAAAACATATATATTTTTATAAAAATTCTGCTGATTTCTAATGTCTATTGCCTTGAGTAAACAATGTGTTGGATTAAAGTGGTTACTCAAATTGATTGAAGAAATCATAAAATTACAGGTATACTTACAGTTACAATCTCAAGCATTTCTTGTCTTGATATATAACCATTGCCATCCAAATCATACATACTGAAAGCCCACTTTAGTTTCTGTTCTAATCTTCCACGTGAAGTAACACTCAGTGCACAAATAAATTCACGAAAATCTATTGTACCATCACTATTTGCATCAAAAGTACGGAATACATGTTCTGCAAATTTAGAAGCATCACCATAAGGGAAAAAGTTTCCATATATTTTCTTGAATTCTTCAACAGTAAGATGTCCACTTGGACAGTCTTTCAGAAAACCTTTATACCATTCTTGTAGCTCTTCATCAGTAAATTCTGTATTCTGTCGGAGATCTTGTAACACCTCAGGTTTGAGTTTGCTGTTTGCCTTGCCCATTGCTCAAACTCTTACCACTGAAAATATAATACATATACTTAATATTCACTTTATATTTATTCACATCAAGTTACACATATCCCCTGTAAATCTCTATGATACGTATCTCTCCACATGAAACAGTTCGCTCTGAATATAGTATTGACAAGTTTAACATTATATCAATGCTTACTCTGCCTCAATATATACAGAAATATGTTCAATATTCACAAAATCATTCTGCTTGACAAATCAGAATAGTCATTCTCCATCTTCTTTCCTATTGGACAATTTTTCTATACTTTATTTAATACATGTATAATTAACACAAAAATAATATTTTGATATTGTGCCACAAGAATCCCATACAAATTGCTTACTGTCCAGTACAGAATAAAATACAATATAGACAATGCATTGTGTATTTTGTCAAATATGTAAAGTCAGTCACAGTCATATAATAATTCCCAATTTCTTTTTAAGTGTTGTTTTTAAACATTGTTTTCATTTGTAAAAGTTAACTTTCACAAAAATAAAAATAAACCAGTCCAAACAAGACACTGACAGCACTCGACGTACTAAGTATGAGCACTTACCTTTAAGCCGTTTTTAAAGTTTTAAAGCAAAACCTTAAAAGGTAAAGGATTAAGTGGTGTGTTTAAGAAAATTTAAGTGGAAAAAGAAACAACCACTACAGTCAAAGTTATGATTTCTTGCATGGAAGTGGGGATGCTGGTCACTTACAAATATACAATGTTTCAAAATAAAAGCAAAACCTCAAAGGGTATAAGAAATAAATAAGTTGGTATGAAAAACTTAACCAAAAGTGTGACATAGAAGTCAACTTCCAAGTGAGTAGGATAACTCAGCAAGAATTGTTGAACACTGACAATGTGAACATGCAACCACCCTGTATAGGACTATTAAAAACTTTTCAGTGAAAAAATTAGTAAAAACCAGCAGCAGAATTATTGTCTTAATTATGCCAACTGGATGTCTATTTTCAAGCAGATCATAAACCTCATGAAAGCACAATATAATTAACCTTAACATAGCATGAATCTCTCAATTCTTTTTACAAGAAAACATCTCTGCCTTACACTAACACAAAACAAAAGATCAACCCAGTCAAGTTTATTGAACTGATAGACTCCATTCTACTCTCTTTTCCTGCAATAAATGCCAAACAATCTAAATTGTCTGACCTTTTGTTGTTTTTTCTCAAATAATCTGAAATGTTCTTATAATTCAAGTTAAATGTTGGCTTAATGCACTGACACATTCACAAGAGCAGCTTCAGTTTTAGCAGTTTTATGTCCACCTCAAACAAGGAAATAAAGGTTTTCATCTTACTATTAAGATTTAATGGTATATCATTGGAGTAAAAACTAGTTGACTTTAGATAAGCATGGTGGAAGATGACCTCAGGTGGCTGGACTTTTGCAAATTATTTCAGACAAGAGCAGGCACATGTGTCCATATTACCTTAGCTGGATAGATTTGTCTTTTTTTAACAGTCATACAAAATATTCATTAATTAAAAATATCTCTCCATATTTTTCATATCTATACACATTTGTACATATCAAAATAAGTATCAATCTAACAGTCTGGACATATCATTTGTAAAGCTCTGTTGTTCTTTTTCACCAAGTTTCAACTGCTTTTTATCACTTACTCTCAGAGACATTTTCAATTTCTTACTCATTGCCTCAGTTCCAATGTAACATTGCCCATACCAACCAGTTCATGTATTAATTCATTCATAGGAATAATTAGATTTGCCTGTAATATGTTGTGTAGGGAAGAGTACCTAATAAAGTAGGAGATTTAATGACTTTTCCCCACTCATTCCTATTCACACTGAGACAGATACATTAATACTATAAGAAACTGGCTGTAATAAGTCCCTATAATACACCCTGTATTCACATTTAATGGAGCTCTTCCTATAATAGTTTTTTTCCCATTTATTGGCATTACATGTTCTGCAGTTGAAACCTTTCAAAATAACTCTGCCTACAGTCTATCTTTTACATATAGCTGTATCAGTTCTTAGACTTACAACTCTAACCATGTATGTACAAAAACTGTAACAGTTAACTAAAACCCCAACAAGAAGACATTACCAATAATGTACACATACTTGGAACAATTGCCATAACACATACTTAGTCCATAACCTTGACATTTTTTTAAATGATTCCTTAGAACTATTTTGATTTAAACAAGAGTGTCAATTTGTCACAAAATATGCCCACTATAAATGCTCAATCTAATAATGGTGAACATTTGCATTAGAATCCTCAAATTTTATGATATCTTCTTATTCAATACCCGCTTTTTCATTTTCTTACCTCTGCATGTAACCTTGACCTTTAGCCAAAGGGCCTTGAATTTTATGCACAACATTATAATTGCTTTACAATGCTGGACATTAATTATGCCAAGTTCTATAACAATCCCTCTATGTTTGTAAAAGTTCTGCTCCAGACAAGCATTTTCCTTTGACCTCTAAGTGTGACCTTAACCTTTGAGACAGAGACCTGATTTATGCACACAGCACATCTCATGGTGGTGAACATTTGTATTAAGTGGTTATTAAATCCCTTCAAGCATGTAGGAGATATGCTCCAAACAAAGCTATAAGCTGCTTTGCCCAGGAGCAATCCTATTATATGTCCCCCCTTTTTTAAGGTGCATTTAAAAATTATATTACTGCCAATGAATGCTCCCTACAGATCATTTTAGATATCTTTATGAAAGTGAAAAGTTCTGTTGAGAATTGACTAGTTGAAAATGTTGAAATAATCAGCTTATTTAAAAGCAATCATTACTCAGAAACTTAGTTAACTGTAATCAAGTTTCAATATAATATAATCATATTATTGAAATCCCATTAACTTCAAATTGACTGTTCTAAATGCAAAGGCAAGCAAATCCATTACATAAATTTATCATTCAATATAAAGTTTTTCAGGCCTTTATCAAAGCTTCATATACGAGGAAAAAGGAACATGTCTGTGTCAATAATATTCTCTTGGCAATAAATGTCTGCCAAATGAAGAATTTCCTCTGAGTTCAACCTTTATATTATATGTATAACATAACTTTAATGTTATTACAACAAAATCAATGCCACTTCAGCCATTATCTGAGAGCCTACAGTTGTATTGACTTCCACTTTACAGTTTTATTCAGTCTCTCTTGAGTGTTTTTAAAATCATCACATTAAATTAAAACACATTCTAGAGCTTTGCCCATTATGTTCCAATGACTGCAAAAACAAAAAATTTCTGACAGTTTCTCAAACACTGTATGCCAGCTATGATTTGAAGAATTTATCCACGTTATAGATATTTCTATAATTTACATCATATAAATGATACACTGAAACAGCAACCTCATGCTATGCTTGTTTGAAATATTTTAAAAAAAAACATGATTCTTTTTTTCTAATTGTTAAAAAAAAAACCCAATTAATGCCAACCGACAGAGCAATTTTCACATGTGACATATATGGCAGAGATGCTCATATTGCATGCAGTACACTTTCGTCTACTAGTTTCAAAAATTTTAACAGTAAGATAAAAGCAACAGAAGGTCAAGACACTAACATTACTATTACTGATGTGAACCAACCAGTAAAACCAGAATTATGCTAAATATTCTCTCCAGTGTATCTGTTTATATCTGCTAACCCCTCAGTCAACAAAGACACTCTTACTTTGCTGGGATAGGTGGAATATGTATATGTAAATCAACTAGCTTAAGATGTACTAAGAGGGTAGAAGCTGATGGTGTGTTGAGAGGGTAACAGCAGATAATGTTTTGATAGGGTAACAGTTAATGTTGTGTTGAGAGGGTAAATGTTTATGATGTGTTCAGACGGTACAGTTGATAATGTATTGAGAGGGTAACAGTTGGTAATGTATTGAGTTGATAACAATAAATGATGTTTTGAGAGGGTAACTGTTTATAATGTATTGAGAGAGTAACAGCTGATAATGAACTGTGAGAGTAACAGTTAATGATGTATTGAGAGGGTAACAGCTTATAATGTATTGAGCTGGTAGAAGTTGATGATAAAATGAGAAACAGTTGATGACATATGGAGAGAGTAATAGTAGACGATCACTGAGAGGATAACAGCTGATGATGTGTTGAGAGGATAGCAGATGATATTGTGTTGAGAGGGTATTAGTTAATGATGTGTTGACAGGGTAACAGTTGATAATGTATTGAGAGGGAATCAGTTGATAATGTATTGAGAGGATAACAGCTAATGGTGTGTTGAGAGGGTATCAGATGATAATGTATTGAGAGAGTTAAACAGCTAATTATTATGTATTGAGTGGGTAAAAGTTTATGATAAACTGAGAAACTAACAATTGATGATGCGTGAAAAGGGAGTAGTAGAAGATGATGTACTGAGAAGATAACAACTGATATTGTATTGAGAGGACGACAGTTGATGATGTATTGAGAGGGCAATAGTTGATAATGTAAATATAAAGAGGGTAACAGTTGATAATGTATTGAGAGGGCAACAGTTGATAATGTATAAAGAGGATAACAGTTGATAATGTATTGAGAGGGCAACAGTTGATGATGGTATTGAGAGGGCAATAGTTGATAATGTATATATAAAGAGGGTAACTGTAGCTGAGTTGATAATGTATTGAGAGGGCAACAGTTGATAATGTATAAAGAGGATAACAGTTGATAATGTATTAAGAGGGCAACAGTTGATAATGTATTGAGAGGGCAACAGTTGATAATGTATAAAGAGGATAACAGTTGATAATGTATTGAGAGGGCAACAGTTGATAATGTATTGAGAGGGCAACAGTTGATAATGTATTGAGAGGGCAACAGTTGATAATGTATTGAGAGGGCAACAGTTGATAATGTATTGAGAGGGTAACAGTTGATAATGCATTTAGAGAGTAACAGTTGGTAATGTATTATGAGTAAAGTAGTAAATAATGCAATGAACAGTTAACAGTTTATGATGAGAGGTCAATGTTTGCTCTTG